GAATCGTGATGAATCGTGATTAAAGTGATGAATTCATCATGCATCACGAGGGCTAGGATTATTCATCACGGGACTAGTGATGACCGGGATTCAGCATATTACGTACTTGCGGGACCTTGCAGGGGCGGATTTGCTACCTAGCTAGTGTGAATTCCCACTCTTCTTTGCTCAAGCCTGGCCCTCGCTGGCTTCTACATTATACATGTAATCCACCTGGTCTACTAAAATCTAAAACCCCCTTGCACTACCGGTACATGTATCTAGTACCAGGTACTACGGTAGTATGCAAGCAATCGCTATAGCTAGCTAGCTATGCATACAGGTACGATTGTTTTAGTAGGAGTTGGTGGCGATCATTTTGCCTCATCACAACTGCGTGTAAATCCATTAGCTTGTTCACGCTGGCTTAAAGCTTCGTGCGAGTATGATCACACTCTGGCTATTAATATCAGTAATACTGTACTTTAGAATTTACAGTACCGGTACGCGGATTTAAAGTCGCCACTTGAATTAAATCCTTCAATGTATGCGGATTTAAAGATGAAGTTCGTCGGGATTCAATAGAGCCTTCATTTTAACATCACGGTTCTCCCTCGATCCAGGCGGGCCAAGTGGTACCACACTCGCGAATGTTGAATCTTTGCACTCTGTCTAGCTAGCAATCGCTATAGCGGTACCGCAGACAGAGATTCGATTGATGTGACATTCAATGATTCGTTTGAGATTCAGCCTTCTATCTTGCATCTGCATCTTGGGACAAGATTCTACACATCCTACCCAAATTCTACATGATGAGGATGCGGTTCCATTAGCCACAGACGGGATCTTTTGCAATCAGTACGTTTTCTACCACAGCCAAAGATCCAGGATGGTGGCTCGCAAGCTTCTTTGGATTTGGCTGGCTGCCTGGGATCCGAGAAAGAAACAGCCATCCCTCTCATTCCTTCATTTTTTGCTGCTTTTAAAAATAAAATCTCGACCCTCTCAGATACAATTTGATTGATTGATTGATCGATCCACCATGGTAGCGCAATTCCAGACAGCTTTGACCGCCGTCTTGGCTCTTTCGGGTGCTTCCCACGTATTGGGAAAGGGAGTAAGGGTGAGTACTTACTCAGTACCTATTTCGATGAGATGAGAAGCTGTACTATATATCTCACCATTTCATCATCTCTTGCTGTGTATACGTGCCGTTACTGTACGGTAGTCCAACGGCCGCAAACTCCAAAATGTGTGTGTTGATCCAGGTCTTGACATTTCCATGAGTGAAAGCTTGATGGCCGTCATGTCTACCACTGGCATGTGGGATGCCGTCATGGATGGCCTCGAGCAGTTTGCCACTGATGGCGTCTCTATTGGATCTTCCACGGCATTGCTGCCAGAGGCCAACGACGCCGCTGTCACCGGTGCCACCATTGAAGATGGACAGAGTGGTGATGTCAATTTCCCCCATGGAAACATAAAGCCACTGGCCACTGCCGGGGAACGATCCGTATGCCTCGAAAGTTATGGTTGGAAAATCACAGGAACGCCTGATGGTCTTGGCGCTTACCTCCCGAACGATGATACGGTCCGTGTCGTCGTGCAGTCCGAAGGATACGGTCCGCTAAGATACGAATCGTAAGTACCGGTACCGTAAACCTGCCAGTTCGGTTGCATCCATGGTTCAATTCTTGTGCATTGCGCAGATGTTTCTGTAACATTCTCACCACATAGTACATCTTGTTTCTTCTTGTTCCATGCAGATTCAAGTTTCCCGTCAATGATGGTGCAGCCACATTCGGCGGATCTCACATCCAGTACGTGGACTACGATCGTGAAAGCCTCTCCATGTTTATGAACAACGCCGATGCCGCCTCTACCATGGTGACTGGTGCCGGTGAAATGATTGAGAACGTTATCAACCTCAAGGGAGAACCGGTCGGACGTCGTAATGGCGAGTCACCCACCAGCATGGGAGCTCACTTTGCCAACACGGATGCCAATGGGACCTATGCCATGCTCAAGATGGTCGCCGAAGCAGACTGGTTCCTCCAAAGTTTGTGCTCTGCCCACTTGGAACAGCAACATCAGTGGGGTCCTGGAATTGGCCTGGAAGATGACATCTTTCTTACCAGCGAGGAATGGAGCAACTATGCTCTGGACCAACTATTCGTGGGACTCTCGGTAAGGAAACTATGTCATACAATTGTGCTCGAGTCGGGTCAGCAGAGGCAAGCCATTAGTTTCACTCGGGCTAACTCAACCAGTCTCTTTCCCATCCATGTTTCTTCTACGTATGCACCTCAGGGCCATGCTTTGGACATTCAAACCAAGACTCTTTATGCTCTTGGAGGAATTACTCAAGGAGGATTCGAGAAAATCATTGAAGTCAACCCTCAAAACCCTGACTACATCATTTTGGCCATCTCGGGTTACAATGGTCCCTTTGACATTAACGACCACGTCCCTGACAAACTGTACCCAGAGAACATGATTGAGGCCCGCAATGTCGAATACGGACCCCGTGCGGACGGTAACAACTATACTTTTACCAAGGATATTGTCCCCTTCCGCATCTTTGTCGGTGTCAAGGGCAAACTCGAAGATGGTTCGGAAGCTCCTGCGGATGACTTTTTGGCCCGCAACGGTTTGAAGTATGGTCAAATGTACGGGTTTGCCATTGACATGCGCAACGACACGGGCGCTGTCGGACCCACTGCCGGAGAATGGCGTGATGCCTGGCACAAGACCGCAACCAATGGAGAAACGGTCCCCGGAAAGTGGATTGCTCAGCCGTGGCGCTGGGATGGAGAAGGTACGAAGATGGAAATTGTAGAAGATGCTCCTTTTTCAAAGCTGGTGTCACTCACGTCTCTTGACTTCTTCATCTTCGTCTGCCTGCCTGCTGTGTTCCAGTTCGCAACTTTCAGCATGATGGGTCCTGGGACTACCAGAACCCACCTCCCGGCACCGAGGCTGGCTCCGAGTTGGAAGGCTACTATTGGTGGGTCAGCAACGGCATTGACAAGGGTGGCTGCAAGACGGAGCACATTACGGGAGATCCACGCCCCGACACCTCCGCCTTTATCCAAGGAAGTACCTGTGGTTACTTTGGCCACCTGTACATCAATGATGTCGTGGAAGTGTTGGCTGTCGCGGGAGGTGAACTCCCCACGGTCTTTGATGGTTCCTACTACGTTTACCGTAAGTGCAAATCATTGTTAGGCTGTGCTGGGTTGTTCTGTCATTCAAAAGAAGACAGACTCGAGGCTCACCGTTATTCATTCTGCATTTACACTCTTTCGATGACAGAGGGAGAAACCGATATTACAGAACAGGTTGTGTTGAATGGTGCTGGTCGATTGCCCGATGGTCGCAACGCCACTCGCAACTGGGACAATGCTGACCCCGAATCCACCGGCAAGGTGACCTTTGAGGATGTGGATGGCTTGGAAGCTTTCCAGGCCGCGGACGGTAACATGTACTTGATGATTCAAGAAGATTCTGGCAACAAGTATGGCGAACGCATGTTTATATCATCTCCCTTGGAACACGAAGATGACGGTGAGGACTTGACGTATTACTTTGTGGCCATGTCGGGCGGCAAGCAAAACTCGCGTCAAGTTGCCGGTGTAGGCGTCCCCGCCGGAGTGGCGTGTCACGATGGCGAAAAATTTAAGGCGGACGCGCACGAGTTTTCGGGTCTGTTTGATATGAGCGGATTGCTGCGCAAGAATGACGATGGAACTTGGGGAATGTCGGCCTCGGATACGGGCGTAGCCAAGCTTGCGAACAATGCCTTGGTGGATATCAATGACAAGTACATTTTGGTGGGACTCCAGGCTGGAAATTTTGCGTGTGGTGTGATTGGTGCATTTCAGGCGGACCGTGGCGGTCAGTGGCTCTTGTATCAGCCATCGATTCCTCACGGAGCTGTTCCCTCGGTCGAAGTGGTGCGTCAAGATTTCCCCCAAGAGGAATCCGAGGACGAAGAAACCGATGGCGATGGTGATGACTAAGAAACCAGCCCAAGCTTCCAAGCAATCAAACTGTTCCGAAAATGCCTGGATCTGGAAGCTGCCGGAACGGTACGACTGAGGACTCAACTCGACTCGAGGAAAGCCCACAGCCAGAACAATAAGAGCCGATTCGTCTACAATGCCAACACAGTCTCACAATAGCTACTAAGCCTATAGGCCTTGTTATCACTAGCATAGCTGTCTCGGAAGCGATCTGTATCCGCTCGACAGGCTCCATTGATGGAGCGGCGTTTGTGCACTGCATCATGCATGCGGGAACTTTGATCTGTGGCCCAGCACGAGAATAATCCACCTCCTCTAAACCCCTGTTTGGATACGTGTGATGTGCTTCTATACTGCTGACACTAATCTAAATTGAATGTTAGGAATGAAAGAAAAAAGAAGACCTAAGAAGATGCCATCTAGACTGGGACATCGAGCTGCTCAAATGAGGAGGAAGTGTCTTGCTTGCTGCTGCATTTATCTTCTTCATCATAACATGGCACTTCAACAGCACTTCTAAAGAAGAGCTTCCAGGGACCATGCTCTGAAGCAGGACCACAGATCCAGCAGAGGCATAGCAACCTGGATGCAACACCCCAGTCACTTGGGTGTCATCTAGGGTGAGCCCATTGGCATCGATAAAGTGTCCACTCACGTGCGAATCATCCACAATGGTGTTGCCCTGAAAGTGAAGCTTGCTGTACTCATAGAGGGAGTTGCCAAAGTACCAGAGCTCTCCTTGCACCGTTGCTCCCATCATGCGTGCATAGTAGGCAACATGGGTGTGCCTAGAGAAGAAAGACCAGCCAGTGCCTACTCCAAAGCCCAAATATGGTTGATGTATACTCCACAAAAGCTTTGCTGCAAAGGTCTTGGTAGATTCAGCATCACCACTTCAACAGCCTGGTCAAAAGAATCCAAACAAACAGCTGGAGGACAAAGGCTGCTGCCAAGCCAACAGCGATGATGGTAGAGGAGGAGCTAGTCAATAAGCAACACCACCTCAATAGGCAGGGATGAGACTGGCAAAAATGACAACATTTAGTAGCAGTTGCAGGAATTCTGGAAGGATCATGTCCATGATCAGACTGGGTTGCCATGATTTTCCTGCTTGGTTCAACTCGGTGATGTTGTCCCTTACGTCAGACCTCGGAGGAATTTTGGATCTGATGATCTTGACTCCTGAATGGAGGTTGGAATTGTAGCCAACGCTGCTGTTGATGATCTCCATCTTGGAGTCTGCCTTCTGGTCCAGGTCAACAGTGCTAGTGGCCACAAAGGACTTGCGAATCTTGACAAAGTCAACCTTGGAGGGGAAGAAGATTCGGTATGGGTTGCTGATGCAAGATGCCATGTCAACATCTAGGCCATGGAGGAACAGGATGATATGCCAGAGCTTTGTCTGGCCAAAGAATGGAGTCTGAGACCAAGAAGCAATACGGAAATGGAAGTCACACGCCCAGTTGGTTGCTTTGCGCCATAGTGAACCCTCATACTCATCTGATGGATTTCGTTTCCCAATGAAAAACCACTTGAGAGCAATGCTAGGGATGAGGGCAAGGAAGGATGTGGCCGGGAAGAGCACAAGCCAATGCAGAATGGTAGCATAACGCCAAGAAGGCAAAATGACATTGAGGAAGGAATGAACCAGGTAGGAAAGTGCGAAGAAGTGGTATACTTCAATGATGGTCCAGGCTATTTTGAATGCATCCAAAAACACATCCTCCTGCCAGGATGGTTTCGCATGCTTGTAGGTCCCAGAGTTGTATGCTGGGATACCTTTGGCAAGGATTCCAGGTGGTAGTTCTGCACCCTCTTCCACAACAGACAGTTTTTCTACCTTGCTTCCATCACCAACAACAGAACCTGGGCTTGCCATGCCAGATACATGGCTGTTCTTGCCAACAATAATTGGTCTGAAGGTCATCTTGGGGCATGTGTCAGTCTGAGAGAACTTCCTGCACCTGATGGGGTGTGCAATAGTGGCACTGTCTCCCACCCTAACCAAATCACATTCACGGATGAAGGACTCAATCTTGGCAGTCCATGGCAGGTCTGCCCCAAGAAGCCAGTAAAAGATCCAAATGTACTTTGTTTCCACAATGAATGGCCCAACAAATGACTCCCAGATTTCCAAATGCCTGTCCACAAACCACCATCGCAAGTAGTCCTTTGACAAGAGGTCAAACTGCTGGGGTCGATACTTGCCAATGACGGCTGACTTGGAGAGCACCACAGCAAGAGAGAATGATAGGAGGAAAAGAGGGAAGACCAGAGGCAACACAAGCCAGAAGATTGGGCGGCGGCACTCTCCCTCTCCAGTTGAATCACACTGCTCCATAGCCCAGGAAGTCAAGAAGTAGGATGGAGCTGTTGAAATCAACAGCAAGAGAATAATTGCGACTGACCCCAGTGCTTGCAGGACACCAAGCACAGGTTTGGAGATCTTGGATCTTGATGTATTCCATTCGTACTCTTTGCTACCAACAGCATGCTTGGGGAAGCCTTGTGCCTCTGATGCCATCAGAAAGCTGGCAAGTTCTGATGGAGTAGGGTACAGCTGCTCAAAGTTGGAAGGTAGTGACACATGCAGCTCTTCCTCTACTTTGTTTCTGAGTTCGGCACTCTTGAGAGAGGTTATCCCATTCTCCATCCAAGTCTTGGATGCATCATCATCTGGCCCTAGGACAGATGATAATACTGTGCTCCATCTTTTGGAAAAGTCATCTCCAAATCTGACAGTCTTCCCTTCTTTACGTTTTTCACATTTGATTGCTTCATCAAAAGGGTGATCGGCAGTTTCATCTTCATCCTGATCATCTTCAAGCAAAAACGCCTGGCTGTTACTAGCAACAGCAAAGCTCTCCCCAAGAGATGCATGTAGATAAGCCTCAAATGGGGACATGTTGGTTTGCCGTTCATACTGGAGGAGTACAGAAGAACTTTTCCAGTCACCAGAAAGAGTAGTTTGCCGGATCAAAGCTCTCTTCAGCTTGCCAGATGTGGTCTTGGGGGTCACTCCAACCTTGAGAATAAGAACCTCACATACAGTTAGTCCATGCATTTGAGCAACATGATTGGATATCTTGACAGCAAGATGTTCATTCGCTGCCCTGTCAAAGTCCTTTCGAGCCTCAGCTGTGATTCCAACACCATCTTCTCCATGTTGGAAGGCTGTGGTTCTTCCAGGACGGATAGCATCCCCAAAAGAGTCATCTATGGAAAGCTCAACATCCGTTGGATAGTAGTTCTTGCCGTTGATAATGATGACATCCTTGAGTCTTCCAGTGACATAGAGCTGTCCGTCAACAATCTTGCCCAAATCACCGGTGTGAAGCCAGCTCCCCTCATAATTTGGAAGCACATTGCCAAATGTGGAGGCTGTTAGCTCTTTCTGGCCATAGTAGCCGGCAGCAACTCGGGGTGACTGGGCCCAGATACTCCCAACGGCGCCATCTTTCACCTCCTTTCCATCATCAACAATCCGGAGCTTGAGAGTTTGTGAGTCCACCTCGCCACAGGAGACTAGGCCCTCCTCATCAGAGTAACCGGGTCCACCTGTGAGGTATACTACGGATTCAGCAAGGCCATAGATGTTGTAGACATGTTCAGGCTTGATAGAAAGGATATTTGCTACTGCTTCCACAACATGGCTCTGAGCAGGCTCACCACCAAACATGGCTCGCTTTACACAACTCCAATCGGCATTTCTATTTGCCTGCTTCAAACGCTTGAGGAGCAACGCATATGCAAAGTTGGGGGCACATGTATGTGTTGCCTGGTAGTTTTCAATCATGTCTGTCCACAGCAGAGGTCTTGCAATGAAGTCTAGAGGAGATGCCAGGACAAGGTGAAAGCCGCCATAAAGACAAGACATGAATCCTGCCACAAGTCCCATGTCTGGATAACGAATCCCAGCAAAGCTGAGAATTGGAACACATCATGAACTGCTCATCATGTTGCAAACTTACCATGGTATTGAGGGACCCACAGTGCTGCCACAGAGGAGCAATTTGCATTTGTCATTTTGACTAAAGCCATGCAGTTTTCTGCTAGGTTCCGGTGACTGATCATGACTCCTTTGGGCCGGCCAGTGCTTCCAGATGTGTATTGGATAAAGCAGACATCATCTGGTTGGCCCACAAATGTTTCATGGCCTTTTGGCTTACCAAATATCTGTTTCTTATTTGGCAACTTGTCTGTGCCAATCCAGGTGACGCCAGTTTTGTAAAAGACCCCAGCAGCAGTCATGGCTGTGGCAAAGGTGTTAGTAGTCAGAGCGAACTTGGCTCCGGCATCCTCCACAAATCCGCGGAATTTGGGTATGTCTGTTTTGAGCTGATTAGGATTGGGTGGGTAGATGGAGCAGGGAATCACTGAGATCTTCATGGCCCCAAACATGCCGGCCAAGAACTCTAGACCAAATGGATAAGCAACCATGACACGATCTCCTTTTTGGCACCCCAGCTTGAGGAGTCGAGCAGCCACAGCATTGGCCTCATCTTCTAGCTGCCGGAAGGTCAGCTTTCTTTGCTCCTGGCACTTGATGTCCACCCAAGTATAAACACCCTTGTCAGGAGTCACAGCTGAGTAGTGGGCCAAGGCCTCCAAAATTGTCGAGAAGGACTCCATTGTTCCTCCTTGTTGATTGCTTCCTTGTGGTTTGGTTCCTGTCTCACGACCCAAATCTTCCACGACCGTTGAGATGAAGTTCATTTTCTAAAGACCTATAGATAGTTGTGGTAGTTGTGATAGAAGTTGTGGCTTGTTTGGAGGTTTGGAACTCACAAGCAGTCGGGACGATGCTGGACTGGTGTAGTCAAGTGAAAATCAGGGGCTTTCGACATGAAAATGAGAGGTTTGTGCTACAATGTATATGCTTGCATGAGCTTTTGGTTGAGAGTTGAGAGGCTTCGGAAAAGAATTCCTGGTTACTCAGTAGTTGATACCATACTCGGTATTTGACCTCGGCAGTCTTGCTGCCAGAGCCCTCAACCCCTTTAATTGTTTTTCCTGCTACGGTGGTCCCTGCAGGTATAAGGGTAGGGTTAGAATACAAATAAGTCAGCAAAAACTAAATAAGTATCCTAGCTAGAGGATGGTGCAAACCAGGACCGTCCGACGGTTTTCGCTCAGGTTTAAAAAAAACTCAAAATTTTGCAGTTGAAACATTCCCTTAAACATTCCCTTAAAACATTCCCTTAAATCCTTAACATTCCCTTAACATTCCCTTAAATCAACATTCCCTTAACAACATTCCCTTAACGCTTCGAAACATTCCTTTAAGCCTTCATGTAAACCCCATAGAACATTCCCTTTAAAAAAATGAACATTCCCTTAAATAAACATTCCCTTAAAACATTCCTTTAAATCCTCAACATTCCCTTAACATTCCCTTAAAGCTTCAACATTCCCTTAACATTCCCTTAAAAACCAGAACCACGATTTGAGCAGTTTTTAAACCTGAGCAAAAACCGTCGGACGGTCCAGCTAAAGCTATTTACATCCTTCCGAGTAGGGGGCGAAAGCTATAACTAGTATTCTAGCTAGCTAGAGGTGTCTGCTTCTAGCTTGCTATGGGAATCTGCTTCTAGCTAGGGGGAATTAGCTTCTAGCTAGCTAAGCAAAAGTTAAGCACTAGCTAAGCACTACAGGTACTAGAATAAGGATAGTAGTGAGCCTTCGAAAATTTACACGGATTTCTGAGAAACCGATAACATCGACCATGGCGTACCTTTTGCAGTTAAACCGACCAGTAACACCCTCCAACCAGTAACAGGAATCGTTAGTGATAGTAATGGTGATGGCCGATGAGTCTTCTTAATAGTCTTGTAGTGCTTTGTAGTTGTAGAAATCGATGTCGGAGTGTAGTGAGGAGGACGTCCGACGTCGCCGAAATTGGACATGCCATTGTAAAAGTGTCGATAGAGCTGTTTGTGGCTTACCTCCAAGGGACAACACCAGTGCAATCCCTTCTTCAATACCATCACGAGCGGCAGTGAGCAGAGGCAAAGCCAAATCGACAGGGCTGCAGCCCTTGTTTCCATCAGCAAAGGAGCCATGAAAATAAAGGATGCAATGAAAATGGTTGGATTCACGACGCCAGAGAGAAACAAGATGACCTTCTATCAGCAAGTGCGACGTACCTCATCCAAGGTGGTTGTATCTGTTGGTAGTGCCACTGCCACTGTGGTGCCGCCCACAAAGAGTGTTCGAGTGACAGAGAGCTCCTCGAAAACATCGAGTCTGACCGGAACAACAAAAGATGCCACCCCTCCTTCTGCAGCAACAGCTGTTACTGTTGACTCTGATATCTCTCCACTTACAGAAGATACCTCCACATTAAAGGAAGAGGACAACAAGTCAACAAGGCGCACAAGCAAAGAGCTGCAGAGACAAAATGCAAAGCAGATACAACTCACAAGAAGAGACAAGTCAGCCATGAAAGCGGCAACAACATTGATTCACAGGAACCAACAGTTGCCCAAGAATGATCCAAAGAAGAGGACAATCAAGGGCATTGTGGATGCATGTAACAAGAGGTTGAAGAGCAACATCTCTGCCAAAACAGCAGCTCGATATGTGAGGCAAGGATTGATTGGTGTTTCGCCTTTGAAGAGAGGTCCTGTGGGAGACTTTCCGACTCAGGTCTATGGCGCTTTGAAAGGAGCTTTTGTTACCTTTTTGAAACTGGAACAGGCCGGAAGCAAGAAGCAATCGACGCTGAAGAAGATAGGGCAGTTGCTGAACAAGACAGTTAACACAATCGGCTTCAACAAAACAAGAGATGACTTGGCCCGTAAGTTGAAGAAAGATACTGCAGACCAATTCGAAACTGGAAAAGCAAACGTCCAAGAAGCACGCAGGTCACAGTGGACCACTCACTACCATCTTGACTTTTGGTTTGACACTTTCAAGCAACAGTGCATTGATCTTGGATTTGCTCGAGCGAGAGAGAACAGAAACTGATCCCCAAGACATTGGCGAGTTGGTGTTCTTTGACGGTCAAACAGATAGAATTATCAATCTGGATGAGACAGACGGTTCACTTGATGACACAACAGGACAAAGAGGTGGACGGCCACCTATTACATTTTACTCACCAGAAATTCGTGGAGGAGCCACGGCAGTCAACAAGAGTGGATATTCCTGCACGATCATTTGTGGAAGCAGCGCCGCAGGTGATCCTCTTCCTCCACACTTTCAGTTGAAGACGTTGGCACAAACGACAGAAGGTCAGAGAATGTCGATTGACTGGTTCAAGCACTGCAAGAACGTTCTCGGAAAGTTTGGTCACAAGGAAAGAAGAACTTTCCCTTGTACCTTTGGAATGAATGGGAAGGCGGGAATGAACGCTGTTGGGTTGGACAAATACATAAAGGGAAGTATCCTTCCGTTGTTCCCTGACTGTGAAGACGTACCTGGCAAAAGAGTTCTTGCAAAGCTTGACAGTGGCCCAGGAAGAATGAATGTGGAGATGCTTGCTGACTTGCGCTTGATTGGAGTTTATGTTGTTCCTGGTGTGCCAAACACAACTGGTGCTACACAGGAAACTGATCAGAACTATGGAGTCTACAAGAGCTCCTATCGCGACAATCTCAGAGTGTTGTCTCAAGCGAGGTTTGACAAGGACTTGTCAATGCACATCACTGATCTTCCTCTTCTTGTGTTTGGTGGGACGAATCCAGCAACAGACGTTGCCCTCCGTGATGCTTTCAGTGATGCTTTCAATTGCCAGTCCAATCTCAACTGCTGGAAGAAAGTTGGCGCTGTTCCCTTAACAAGAGCTGTGCAGGTGCTGCAGCTGCAGCCGGACCAGAAGCCGAAGAACAGGAAGAAGTGCGTCGCTTGAAGCAGCTGGAAGTACTGAACAGGATGTACTGCGACGTCTTGACTTCTCACGGCATGGAAGGAGCTAATATGCGAAAGGATGCCCCCAAAAGATCCACTTATGTTGCTGTGACACAAGCAAACTCCAAGGAACGTCAAGAGGTGATCAAGAAGGCGAAAACTGCAGGTCAAATGTTCTATGCGACCGGTGGCAATCATCTGAACAGTGATGATTTCTTCAAGGCCAGGAAGCTCGCGGAACAGGATGCCATGATCAAGAAGCTCAAGGACAGCAAGGAAGGCAAAGTAGAGGCCGCCAAACTGCAGGAACAGGCCCAAGAAATTCTCTCCCGTCGTGGCAATCTGACACAGGAAACAGAGCGAACATTTGTTTGTTCTGAACTGAAAATTCTTCTCAAGTGGAAGAAAGTCTCCCCAATTCCAAGTCGAAAAGTTGATATGATTGATATGATTGCCGCATATTACACCAATCCATCGCCACCCCCAGCTGTTGCCTGGACTGACGCTGAAGAGGCGAACCTTCAAGAGCTCTTGGCTGGAAAGGTTGATATCAAAGACACGGAATTGGGTGTGGCGACAACCCGAATGGCGAAGGCTGTCACTAACAATGTGGCGAATTTAGATGCACAAACCAGGGCTGCACTCAAAGCCGCCATTCAGGCCTCTGAATATGGTGAACCTACTAGTCCTCCGCATGTTCCTGGGCCTTCAGAGCAGTCGTAATGCGTTCGAAATAGCCGCTTTTGTGTCATCGTGGAAGTTTTTATTGTTGTTGTTCTGTCGGAGTGAGTTCAGTCAATAGGAAATGGGATTCACGAAGGATAGTTGTGAGCGAATCGAAACTCTCCTTGCGTGAGTCACCAATCCGTTGGGATTCATTTAAAGTAACTCACTAGATCTTTTGTTAAGGTTTTTACAACGGTCGTTCGGAGGCAAGTTGGAGGCCTCGCCGACACGTAGCAAACTAGTACTAGTCTACCTGTAAATCTCTCAATTGACCTTATTCTAGTATCTGCTTCTAGTTAGCTAGCTATAGGGGTATCTGCTTCTACACTGAAACCTTCTGCCGAGGTTACACAGCTCCGCTGGCTTAATCGATCATGCATTCGCAGTAGGTCGGAAGCGAAGCTTCAAGTCAAATAATTAACCGCCAGACCTCTTTTGTCTCAATAGCTCTACCGTATCTGGCCACTGACTTGTCTGGAATTAAGAGGCAGCTGCATCGATTCCTTTCTAAAGTGATCTCATAACTACCGATTCTGACCAAAACAGTACTACAAGCAAGTGTACATAAGTAGTACTCAGAACCTGGTACTGATGCAAGCTAAGGTCGTAGACAACCCCTTGAAAATTCAGGAATGCAAATCAGGGGGTCGAGGTTTTTGACTCCTTTAAACACTATATAAACAAATATTTGTTTTACCGCATCCATATCCAATCCAAAACTGCACAGGCCCTGGTACAGCTTCTGGCGCTGTGTTGCTGTCGTCGTTGGTCGAGGCCACAAAATGCAAAGCTTTCAACTGTAACAGAGGTGGGTGCGTCATGGGCTTTGCTATCGAATTCGATTGGACTCTCGGGGAAAATGGTGCCACTCTAGCTAGCTAGCTAGATCTATTCTTTTGCTCGCAGCTTGCAGGACACTACGGTATGCATTTTGCAGGTACTGTACCAGTACCGGTACTACGTTTAGCTACATGTAATCTAGGTGTCCTTTTAGCTCCAATCTGGAGTTGTAGCGGGAGTAGTACTAGCTAGCTACAGTAATATGGTAGGTTTTAATGAGGATGCTATGCTTTTAGTAGACTACATATAGTGCGAATGATTCAATCGACAGATTCAATCGAGCTGCCCAGAAACTATTATACAGTAGTAGCAGCTGTGTGTTGTCTTGTCTTGTCTTGGATTGCCAGCACAAGTTACATGTCCACGTCGTGAAGTTGGAATGAAGGATGAATCAGGCCCGCAGACGATACACAGAGAGCAGAGGTGCGGCGAACGTGCTGGCGGTGTTGAAACGGGTCTCATGAGACATGTAAATCAACTCTTTTGTCCTTGCTTGTTGGGGCTCTGGGTGCTGTCACGTAAACTGCACTCTAGCTAGCTTGCTAGCTGAAATAAATACAGTGGACTATCGAGAGGAGACCAACCGAGAATCTTGATCACTGCTAGCTGGTACATTTGACCTGACGTCATCTCGAAAAGATTTCATTCGCGATCGGGACTTGATTGCAGCCATCGGCACGCATTTGCCACCCCACAATATCCCACAATCCCACAACGCCACACAATCAGCATCCAACCATGACCGCACTGTGATGTGGAAGCTTTGCCGATTGGCCGCTACTGGTACTCGGTATTTCCGTAGCATGGTGATGCCAGATAGAAAGCGGAGGACAGGTGTTGTTCGGTAGCAAATCGGTCTTCACTTGAGATGGTCTTCCGTAGCGTACCGGTAGCGTAGAGAAAGGTATGTACATGTAGTCAATTCAATTCAGTGGTATTTATGTTCCATTCAATTCAGTGGAGGCCTCGGTACCTGAGGGGATGGGATGCTGCAAATGATTCAAATAAAAACGCCGTTTACCTGTCCGAATGAAAGTGACGATAAATCATCTTGTTTTTTCCTGATGCAGTGAAGATACCCGCCTAAACACGTACATCAAGTGTACCTGCCGTATCCATCCGTTCCATAAATATTCTCACCTGTATTTTCTGTCCTCGTTTCTTGACCTTCCACAGTTGACGGTATCTAACTACTGGTAGCCAGAAGGACAGCGATGGCTGTAGCTACGGATAGCTGCTATAGGTACGAGTCGAGTCTACATGGGAGCATGAAACTAAATAATGAGTTGAATTGATTCTTGTCAAGATGAGAATGTTTATGAAATCGTGACGCTGTTTCGGCAGCACTGGTCGTCATTTCAAATCAGTCTTTAAAGTTCTCTGAACAAGACGGGCCGAGAGGAAGCAAAATCCAAGCCATTTGGCACCCTTATTTGTATATCTCCATTCTCATTTTGATTTTTCATTTTTTGTAACTATGACAGGATGAACAATAAGCTGGCTGGACACAAACTACTTGAGGATCCCCGTTTTCCTATCAAGCCATCCAAAGAGTGGTCATCAGCTGTGGTACGGTATGGTTGCCCCCAAGATCATCATTCTTCCTTCCAGCCATGCACGTGATAGCTTATCGTATCCTTGAGCTATGAATCAAACCATTGCAGCCACCAACTAAATTGGCACCGTGCCAAGCCTTATACATCCACTGAGGCGGTGGCTCGCGTTGTGAGCTGCAGAGACGGCTGCTATCGAGATATGGACCCCAAAGATTCGATTGAGCTCGCTACGATACCGTGAAGATCGACCCTGGTTCGAAATTGCTTCTCTTAAAACGGTATACATAGCTCGCTACCTACCGTAGAACTTCTTATTAAACGAGATCAACCCAAATTGCTTCTAACTAAAATAGATTATTCTCGTAACGTATCGAATCGGCTATAGCTGGCCCGGGATACCCACCGAAAGAACCCTAGCTGGCTAGGTGAACGTATTCCAAGCCCAAGGCAACGCCACATTTCTTTTTCCACAAAACACAGATTGATTGTTGCTACCAGCCCAGATGTTCCTCTGACTCGACTCGACTGAGCTCTGGTTTAATCGCCCAGAAACTGTTTCCCTAACAATTTCTGAACCAACCATGCCAACAATCAACAACCTTGGTACTGTATCAACTGTACTAAAACTAACCCAAAAAAGATCCAAACCACCAATCAACCAACCAATCTTCAACTCAAATCTAACCAATCCAATATCCAACCTCGTGTTCCATCTATAATACCGTAGTAGCTAGCTCTGAGTGAATGAGAACTTGAGTACTTCAATTTCAAAAGATAGATCAGAATTGGGCATGATTCCCCAGGCAGGAAATCCCGAGGCACCGTAGGCATAATCAGGAGTGGCGACGATTTTGGACTTCTCACCCAGTGACCTATAATAATATAGAAAAATAAATAGAGGTAAAAACGAAAGAAAACAATAGAAAAAGAAAACAATAGAAAATGAGGAATGAGTGAATGACATGATCCATCCAAATCTTCTACTGAACTCGTTTCTGCTTGTTTCTGTAGTTTCTTCCTTTGTTTCTAAAAGTCACTTACATGGTCAGAACGGACTCATCCCACGCCTTGATGACTTCTCCCATTCCAACTCGAAAGGTAAACGGCTGTTGTCCTGGATCTTTTGTGGACCAAAACTTTTGACTCATGTCCTTGTTCTTGCCGTAACCAGTACAGTGGACTGTCACGTACTGTCCCTTGGCGGGCTTTTCGCCGCTGCCTTCTGTTATCACAGTCTTGGTGTAGCCCATGGTCTTCTAATAATGCTCACTCACTTGCTTGCTTGCTTGTGAACTGGTGTCACGGTTGGTTGTTGTTACTATTGCTGCTTGCCGCTGCTAGCTAGTAGTCTGCTGTGTAGATTATTTGACGGGTTCGCGATCTTTCGGTTGGATGACAGCTTCGATGACTTGGCATTCGGTAAAGATCTTTTTGGTCTGTCCTGCGTCCAAAAGATCCAATGGTGTCACGGCCAAGAAAATCTAACCCTCATTTTTCTTCCTTTCATTTCAAGCAGAGGGGCAATTAGCAAAGGGTAACAAGAGGATAACGTTAGCGAGCCAGTTGTCTACTGTATGGACAATGAAGAAGAGTGCCATGCAATCGCAAGTGGAAGGAGCCCGTTCTAGTTGGCTGGACAAAGCGAATCCAGACATGACCCAGGTGGAAGAACTCTACAAAGAGGCCCTGGATTCCATTTTGGATCATCATTGTTCCAACAATAATAAGAGCAAGAAGCGAAAATTGGAAGAACAAGAATTGGCGGCACAATTGGAACTGGAATGCTGGGAACGGTTGACCGTGGAACAGTACTGCATGATTCTGTGTCAATCAGGACGAGCCAATCAAGCCAAGCCGTGGTTGCAACGCCTGGGATGTACCTGTCGTTTGGCACAAGCAGTTCTGGATTATCCAACTGATACCCATACTGATACTCATGACCATGACCATAACAGTGACACTACTACATGTAGTATTGCCTGCCATGCGTGGGATAACCTATTGTCTCCCTGTCAACTTCAACACATGCAAGACGTGTTCAACGACCCCCAGGCGGATTACTGGCTTCAACACAATTATCAAGTAGAACCTCCTTCTCCCTACTTTTCCTACATTATTCCACTCCAACGGCAACACAACAGCAACAGCAACAACAGCAACATGACGGTCGACACAAAGTTTGGCGCTTTGGGAACCATTATTCAAACCCTCCATTCCCATTTCCTACCACAATTTCCCAAATTAGCCACGGCTTCCATGGTGGAATTATGGGCACACAATCGACCGCATCCCACCGGACATCAATTCCATTTTGACAGTGACAATGAAGGACAAGGGCGCATCATTAAAAATCCAATCATGACAATCATCCTATACTTGTCCACTACATGCGGGGGTGGACCCAGTGTCGTTACCAATCAATCCCTCGTCAGTAAAAACTTGGCTACACGGGCCGTCCTATCGCACCCGTCCACCCCAGGACGGGTCGTGGCATTTGCCGGAAATTTATTGCATGGTGTCATTCCGGGAAAATATTCTCCTTCCACTGATCCCACTACTACGCACAACAACAATACTAACTCCAGCAGCAGTCATCGTCGTGTCACGGTCATGCTGGCGTATTGGAGACGGATTCGAGTACGACCATCCGACAAACCGGGAGCCGCTCGACCCTTTCCCAACAAGGGCGACAGTCCTTGGAGTGACTTGCTCGTACGGCCTCAATCAGCAAACGACAACGAGTCACCACCCCCCGTCGAGCAACACCCCATTCCCATTGACCACGTGTACGAAACATTGGACGGAGAACCGTGGACAAAAGCCATGGGATTTCCAGAATATGATCAAGTGTTTCAGGGATTCTAGTTCGCTAACTAACTACGGAAGAAAGAACGCTTTGTCGTGAACGTTGTTTGGGCTTCGTAAAATGCGACAAAATCTTTACAGCGGATCTGGCACCAATGGACAATGCGTCGCAGCCAAATCGAACTCACAGAAAAGCAGCTGTCTGGTTTGTTCGTCGATCCTAGAGGTCGTGATTGGTCTATGCGTCTTAATTGTTTGGCTCGCCGTTGCAGCAAAGCAATCGTGACACTCGTCAGCATGCTGCTTGCGAACAAAGGAAGACAGACAAGGGCAATAGCTTGGCGGGAAACGACAGCCCTTCTTGCACCATGGACACAATTCATTAATGGAGCGACTCCTCGACCGTCCATCGAGCCCGCAAACGAGCCAAAGCCAATCGCTGGTTTTTGGGATATATCCCAACCTGGATGACTACAACCTCCAATTCCACGTCTTGCAGTCCTCTACTTTGCTACCGACGGAAACCAGTGGTTGCATGTGGCTCGTTCCATTTGCGACGACGGTAATCTGGTTTCATTCATAATGGAGTTCATGACGATTTAAGGGTGTTTGACATCAGCCACCGTACACCTCAACATCTACTGGAAGCATGCGCGCTCAAGAGGAGTCTTTCGCAAGATGAACCAGATGCTTTTGCCTCGGACTTGAGAAGTATATCCTGTCAATTTGAAGCTGCAGTGCAGGAGTGTAGAGGCATGTGCAGCAACGACAATGAACTACCGATAATCAAAGCTTATGCCTGGGCATGGGTAAGCTCCATGGCCTCACCTGCCTTTTTGGCTCTACACTGAATGGGAAGTTGGGTCTTGTCTGTGAGAATGTCTTGCGAAATGGTCGTCATCTTGTGTCAGTGGATGGATATGATGGAGTCACGTGCATTAAACCTGAAAACTCGGTGGAGATTCCACTGGATGAGTACTTCGAGGCTCTCGTTTCCACCTTGGGGGAAGAAATGCAATGGAGGTTGATGAGGAATTTGGTGAAGAGTGGTGAAGCAGAACCAAAAAAGAGGAGCCAAACTCCAAAAAGAAGAAAGAAAGCACCCGAGCCAGTGTGTTAATCCGCCATTTACACGGATTGCCATGGAGCGCCGGGAGGAATGAACAGCAAGTGTCAGAGAAGCCGTTGCCAAGCACCATTCGGAGAGAGCCTGTTCACCAACGAGAATGGGATCTTACCGCCGAAGGAGACAGCAGCTGATGCACCGGCTGGGCAACCTCTTCTCCAAGGAACAAGACCAGATACTTTGGCAATCCAAGTCCAAGGTGGTCAGCGCCCCAGCTATCCATTCGTCTCTTGGCCGCATCCACTACTTCATCGGCTCCGCCAAAATTAGATTCATCATTCCCCGAGTTCCCCACATCCATTCCAAGGGCTCCGTGCGAAGATCCCCGTCCCCAGGAGACTATCGGCTGGAATGTGATACTACTACTAGTAGTATATTATTTAAAATTTTAAAATGAGATGTATGCAAAACGGATTGGGAGCGGAGCATTTGTTCCATTGATTCCTGTGTCCTATCAGTTCGGGCGCCGTATTTATTAGTCTTGCTTGTCTTGCTCACTTGTTTCGGTAGCATCTGGTTTGCTGTTGTTGTGGCCTTCCGTGCTTTTGCCATTTCCTTTTTCGGCGGCTGCCTTGATATCTTGCAAGTCTTGCATGACTGCCTTTTTTGTTGCTCCTACCATCATCCATCCCATGGCGATCATCATGACTTTGGAACAAAAGGATTGACATTCTCCTTCGAATGACATGCCCACAAAACACTCATGGTCTTCTCCTTCTGCTGCTGGTTCAATGTACATGCGGGACGTATAGATGGCACCACAAGATTCGGCTCGTGTTTGGTAGTATTCGTTTGCGACCGATTCCGTCACCCACATGGTCTCGGTGGCCTCACTGCCAAACATGACGCGAGTTTCTTTCCATTTGAGACCCACCAAACTGTCTTTGGAGGTTGGCCGTTCTAGAACCTCCACTTTGGTGATGGCTTGGATTGTGTCGACGGCATGATCAATGTCCGAAATCACTGACCAAACAGCTTCTTTGCTGGCGGTTACGGGGACCTTGCAATCGAATTTCATTTTAACTTAATGAAGGTAATAAGTTTAGTTATATGATAGCTGTTGAGGGGAAGTGCTTTTTGTGGTGCTCTTCGAAAGATTGTGACACCAGAAGCGGAACCGCTCAGAAGAGGTTCGCACAAGACTTGCTTCCGACCAAACTTTTAAAGTAAGATTTGATGCCGACAGCTGGTACCGGTACCAATGGTACTGTGCTGCAGTACAGTTCGGTGACAACGAAACATGCGTCATTGTATCTTCCTTTTCTGCTGACGTATAACTGTTGACTTGACGTCCATGACTCATAGAGTTAAAGATTTTGACGCGTTCTCTTACTTATGATAAAAGGTCCTGGGTTTTAAGATTTCTCTTTTTCTTCTCATTTGTCGTGCTCTTGATGTTGCATCACATCACTACTGAAATTTCTGCTGGTGTTCCCGGTGGTGTTCCCAGGAGTAGTCTGGTTTGGCTGAAGAGAGAAGCTCGACGGACCGGGCATAGTATTCGGCTTCCTGGTTCAAGCCCCATTCCTCGCAAAGCGCCGCCAAGTTCTTGGCACGTTCCACCAGGTCCACACCAGTTGCCCAACTCACTTTGGGGGTACATTCGGGACAAAAGTGGATGGGTCGTCGATCCGATTCCGGTAAGGAATTGGATCCGCACATGCCGCAGGAATAGGCCGTGCAATGCCGCATGCCGAAAATGTGACCCGTCTCGTGCACCGCCGTCGACAGAGTCCGTTTCAAGCACTTTGAAAACTTACTGCCGTGGCGATAAAACGACCAAACACCGACTCGATTCACCAAAGATGCCTGGCCAAATACAAAGTTCCACCCATCACGAGGCCACAGATCGGAACTCGTGAAACACAGATAGGTGGCTGCATCAGGAGGCAAGTATTTTGTCAGCTTGTCCAGGATAAATGTGGATAAGATTTGCTTGTCGCCCCATTCCGGGTGGACGCGCTGTTTGTTTTTGTTGACAGACTCGAGACCCACAACGTCCTGCACTACAACCGGCAGTCCGTAAAATGCCGCCATGAACTCGGAAACACGACGCACCAACTCGTGCTGCTCGTCGGTAAAGTCGCCCAAGGGAACTATGTAGATCTTGTTGCGACTGGGTGTGGCGGCCACAGGGTCCGATGTCAAATACCGAAGAAATGTTTGTCCCTTTTCGTCGTGTTCGGCAAGCCAATCCCCGTCTCTTGGAGGCTCCAACTTGATGCCCAAAGGGGCCAATGTTTTGGTAGTTTCAATCAGATCCCTTCTGAGTTTGCTGCTCCTGGCCTGATTCTTTGGTTTCATGATTTCATCGACACTCAAGTTCAATTGCTGGGAGAACGGTGAGGGTGTTTGGTGTTGCATTCTTTGTTTGTTTGTTTGTTGTGGGTCTGTTGTGTCCCATGCATAGCTGCCTGGTTGCATTTTGCCAATTATTTTCCACGTCTGAAACTAACTGTGAAAGCGAACTCGAGTCAGTCGAGTCGGTCCAGTTACGATGATGAGTCACGATCAAGAAAGATTCAAGCAAGGGATGAATACCCCCACCCACAGCTTCAGGCTGTTTGAGCACCAAAAACGGATGGTGCAGCAACAGGGGCGGCCTGACGCGGCAGCATGCAACGTTCAGAGCCGGTTGCAAACTTGTCCAAGCCAAAGAAGCAAATAAAGCACTGAAAGGGATGAATGCCCTTCTTGCCACCGGAAGATGGAGCCCCCCACTCCTCTTCTGCGTTACTCGAAGCCTGCGTACTGGATCCAAAGCAATTGTATGTTCCCCTTTTTCTTTCGGTCTCCGAGGTCAGCAGACATGGAGGTCAGAGTAAGACCTTGGCACAAGGATTTCGGCTCAGGCACAGAGAAGGGGGCACCGAAAGCGCCTGGCACCTGGCACCAGGCCGGTCGGCCGGTCCCATCCGAATTTCGAGAGGGAAAGCTGGAACTTGCATGGCATCTATGTGGCTGGTTGACGGTGTCCTTCTTTGCTTCGCTCTTCGTGTTTTGTGTTTGTGTTTTGTGCGTCCGTGCAGCTGTTTGTGCGTTTGTGCACGAGTTGCAGTTGTGCTGAGTTGAAACATTTTTTTGTCAGTGATTTAGAAAGCAACATAAAAGTGATTTAGGAACATGCTCTTATAGGCTAAACATTGGACATTGGCATAAGACTTCAGGGTTTAACGAGCTGCTCTTCTTCAGACTTTTCTGCTCCTTCTTCAGGCCTTCTCCCATCTTTCTGGGGTTCAATGTCCCAAGTTCTACCAAGACACCGAGCAGTAACTCTGCAGCTAACTCTGCACAACTTATTGTAACTTCGTCGTGCGGTCTGTAAAGGGTCTTTGGATCTTGGATCCATCTAATGCCTTCCATTTTACAGACGTTCCACTGAAATTTCGGTCCACTTTTGGAACTTCTCATTATTCGAGTGTCAAAGTTTATAATGCATGTTGCGAGTTGATGTTTCGGCCTCTTAGGCATCTTTCAACTTGGCCTCATTTTTTAATTCTACTTCACACCTTGGCTGATTGTGCGTATCGTTCTCCTTTATGGAAGGCAAAGATCCTTCACCAATGCTCCATAGCTTCTTCGACGATTTCTGCGCGGATTTGCCAGAGACCATTGAACAGATTCTTGTGGTAACCGACAACGCCGGAGCTATCCCAGAAGAAGTGGTCCAAAGCGGCAAAGAAAAGGAGAAGCGCAGCAGCAACCGATGGGAGAGTGTTCCGGTTCCTTGCTGCGTGGCACATGCACCGACAACCTCGGATCAGGCGAAATCAACCGGGTTTTCCAAGCCTCAGAGGCGTGGTAGCCTCGAAGGGAAAGGAGAAGTCGATCTGGACTATGCTCCTGTCACCACGGATGCAGAGGACCAAACGCAGTCGTTGTGCACCAACTCGGCGCCAAAGAGGCCACAGCGTCGTCAAAGCATTGGCACTACTACGGGCACATTGTTCGGGGAGGACAAGATCTCGCCGTCCTGTTCTTCCTCTCCTGAGTTTGACGTCAAACTGGATAGGTCTGCGATGGAGGCCACGGGTATGAAGCCAACTTGGGGCCCGCATCGACCCAAGAGGCGTCTGTCGCCACCAGCAGCCTAGGAAATGTAGAAACCGTGCAGGTTGATCCAATGATTGCAGGGAGAAAATCAGAAGCACATGGACAAAGCACCCGTTGGGGTGGAAGAAGTAAGTACCAAAACAATCCAACGATAAGCTTTTTAGGAACCATTTTTATAGTGCCACAATATATTATTGCTTGGTACTGCATTTAGCCACGAGAACTCGCAGGCAACGAACTGTCAAAAGATTCGATTCCATCCAACATTATGTGCACCTCTACTCTTCTCCAGATGCCGGCCCCTTGACTACGCTGGCGTTTGCCAAAAGGTTTTGCAAGTCCTGGGGCTGAGCCCCAAAGAAGAAAGATGCATGGTTGCCGTCCCCAGCAAGAGCCTTGCCGGTCCGATCAATCTTGGCAAGATCAACCGACACAGCATTGGCAGCAAGCAGATCAGCCGCCTTCTTGGCACCCTCGGCACGGACAATGTCCGCATCTGCGTCGGCTTGGGCCAGGATCATTGTCTGCTCAGCCTGGGCCTTGGCTTCGATCTTGATGGCGCGGCTCTTTCCTTGGGCTGTCGTCTCCATCATTTGGGCCTCTGCAGCAGCCACGGCACCAGCCGCTAGGCTCTCTTGCAATTGCCGGTCTCCAGGGATAGCCGAGATGATATTGATGCTAATGATTTCCACTCCATAGGTCTTTGTGATTTCATTGGCGTGACTCACAGCGTCATCCAGCTTTTCATTGTTGTAGAGGTTGAATTCAACGGCTGCAGCGGATGATGGCTGGTCTCCCGCAAGGGCAGGCTCCGCTGCAGCCGTCGGGAATTGGCGCTCGAGCTCCCTATTGCGCTGCGTCATGGCCGCAGCTGCCATGGAATCCGAAAAGTTGATGGTTCCCACAAAGTAGGCCAAGGAGGCTTCTGCCTGCTTGAGAATATCATTCTGCAACTTGGTGGTGGTGGATTCAGCCTTGGTTCCATCGGCGTTCATAGTCTTGACGCTCATGCGGACCGCCGTGTCCACATCGGCCACGCGCCATAGAACAGTGGCGTCGACCAGCATGATGACGTTGTCAGCACTGGCAGCTTCAATGCGCTTCAATTCATCGGTCTGGATCTTTGTCGAGACAAACTTTTGAAATTTGTGGTTGCGGTCTGATCAAGAATAAGCAAGTAATAGCAAAATGAAGTTAGACTTTTGTGTAACAGCAACGCAAAGGGACGCTCCGCAAACAAAACACACAAAAACTCACGTGTCAGTAGATAGACGTTGCCACCATCCAAGATTTTCTGGACTCCATTGTCCTGAGTCACGGCCATGTATCCTTGGTCAATGGTCAACAATGTCCAAGGTCCCAGCTTGATGACTGGCTGGTTGAGATCAATCATCTGGACAAATTTGAGAGTTGACGACTTCCACTGGTGCATTCCAGGAGGAAGAAGAACGGGCTGACCACGTTCCAAGCAAAAGCCAATGAAACCTTGGTTGACTGTAACAATGCAGCGGTCTCCGTTCTGAATGACCTGACTAGAAATCAAGACATTGTCGCTGTTGGCGCTGTAGTACGGATCGAGAATCTGGTGGACACCGGGGCCGTGGAACTTGTAATTCCCGCGGCCATCATATGCCATTTTGAGCGATCCGCCAGGGACTTCAAATCCCTTGGAAATGCCGAAACAAAAGCAAGGACATGTGGCAAGCGTTAGAAGGGTGTTCTTGATCCGAGTACTGTTGGATGGCAGCAAATCCAGCTCGGACTCTGAGACCACCCGGTACTTCTTGGTCAACAAGTTGTGGTAGTTCAAGATCTCATACGAGGGAGAATCTTCCAAACGAAAGGCTTCGTTGGCGCTGGCGGTTGCACCGGCGGTAGTGGTGCTTTCCTCCTTGCTGTTGAGAGTCATCTGTAGCAGTGGCTGTTGTTCTGTCATGGTTTTGAGTTAGTTCTGTTGTCTTTTGCTTCTGCTCTTGCTGTTTTGATCTTTGTGTTCGCTATTGCGGTGATTGTGAGAAGACTTGCCTCACACTTTTGAAAAGTTTTTCACGACGCGATCACCCCTTGGCACGAATTGGATCTTCCCCATCCCGTCAGTGTTCCCCTCCAATCAACCCAAACCCCGACTGCACCAACGAAACACCACTCCGCTTTGCGGGCTCATTTTTTCTAGGCACCTCTTGGCTGCGTGGCCGCATGGCTGCATTATCATTCATGACTTTTCTACAAAGTTAGACTCTAAGTGGTTGTAGGACACCCCATCCCATGTTATCCAACCTTGTCAAAACCGGAGGCAAGTTAACCAACCAACCCTATGCCCCATGCCCACCACCCTAATCATCAGGAAGCATGTAAAATCCTGGTTGGTGAAATAGCATATTATTTGACACTTTTGACCTGGGGGGTCTGCAGGATTATATGGTTGGCTCGGGCTGTCAACCACTGGCTAGTGGCTAGGCTGGCTGTTGGATAATGAAGCGAGCCCCGGGTCGGCGGGTACCTCAGCGATGTCTTGCCAAACATAGATTTTAGATTTTCAGTTTTGTATGATGGGGCCATTCTCGGCAACGTCAGGTACATACCAGCAAAAGAAGCCATCTCTGTACATGTAGTGACAGCACCTAAACATAGTACACAATGTGCGTCGTGTAAGTGATGCCGATGTTGCAGCATGTGCTATGGAGGCTGTAGTAGTCGTAGAACCCGTTCATTGATAAATCTATTCCGAGGTGTCCAAAGTCCAAAGAAGACCATAATGGTGTTGTTGGTTGTCGTCGCTGGCAACTGGCTGCTATCAACCTGAAAAGGGAACTTTTGAAGAGAAGTCGAGGGGACTACGTGGTGCATGGAGATCTCTGCCACGCATCAGAAATTTTCTGGGAGAGGTCCGATACATACATCATGTACTCATGTACTTGTAGCTACCGGTAGCTAGCTACATGAGCTCTACAGACATTGCATGTAGGGCAGGTAGATAGAAACAGTCCAGGATTCTGCCACCCCTTGTGAAAAACGAGGAACTCAGTGAAAAAGACATGACATTGTAGCCAATCCTGATGTGGCCTACTAGCTAGCTAGATACAAGAGCCAGGAGATCTAGCTAGCTAGCTTCTGAGATCTTCTGGCATCTTTTTAAAGGCCTCAACACCAAGACAGACACCACTGCACTTGCTGCTTTAGTCACCGCGTTACCACCATCAGCTCCAACATGCCAGTGAGAGCAGTACAAGAAAGAAAGAGGCTTCTACGAGCTGGCTATTTTAAAAAGCTCTTAATAAATATTATTACGCAGTCAGAAAGCTACCAGCTGCAAGCACCAACTGCGTGGCAAGCTTTGATCGTAGAATGCCGCTGGTGCATTGTATAGCTATTGGATGCAGTAAAATGTCCGAAGCCTTCCGGCCTTCCTGTCTCCTCCTTCTGAACTTTGGAAGGAATGGGATGGACATGCTATAGCCTTCCAGAAAGATGCCTTCGGAAGGCTGGAGCATCACTTATTGTTTTGAGATATAAAGGTTGAGACAACTCTATTCCACTGAGCTCTGCGGATTGAGCCTGACACCAGTAACCAATTTTGTCCTACTGGAATGCTACAGGAAGATCCTCTGTAGCCAAGAAAGAGTCTCAGCTTATCTTACTGAAACTACAAAGGAGTGAGAAGATCAGAAGGTCATGAATACTGTATCTTTAGCATCTTTAGCTAATCTTTGGGTGAGGGTGCACAAAGGGGTTGGGGTGAGGACAAACCAAAATGTACAGTAGAATAAAAGAGTACCAACTGTGTTTGGAGTGTGTAGTTTTCCATCCATAGTGTGTCTTCAATGGAACATTCGGAAGGGAGTTGCCTCCTGTAAGAGCTCCGGTAAGCTCCTGTAACAGATCAGAGGTTTCATGTCGCTTTGGCCTGGACTTGGCCTGGTGTGTACAAGACTACAGAGTCTGGCAGGAACTCTGGCTCGTGTATGATCACTTTGGCAACTGAGCAAAAGGTGGTGGGAATATAATCAGAAGTCAGAAGGCCAAAAGCATCTCAAATTGCTTTCGGGGTATCCAAGCTTGGCGGGTCGCAGCGTCGCAGCGTCGCAGCCCTCGTTTCTATTCTCAGCTTTTTTGTTTTCGCCTTCTCTTTCTTTCATTATTTTTGCTTTGGCTTTGCAACCCAGCCTTTTTATGAAACTGTAGATTTTCAAAAAGCTGTTCAGTTAGTCTACTAGCTAGTTCACCATGACAAGCGCTACAGCAGCCCTGAACCAATATTTTCGGGATCTGTTTGCCGCAGCTCCTGCTTCGGTAGAAAAGATTGTGGTCGTGCCTGACAATGTGGGTGCCATGCCAGAAGAACTCTCTCACAGCGCCAGGGTGTCCTTGCTCAGCCACAGCAGTCACCACTTGCAGGGCAGCTGTCGATGGGAGAGTGCGCCTGCTAACTCCTGTACTAGTGGCAGTCCTGATTACCGTCGAAGATTAGTACAAGATGACGATGGTGACTCTGTCGATGACTCTGACCTTGACTATGGATACAGCAGCAGCAGCACCAATAGCGATAGCGACGAGGACTCCTCCGACGACAGTACACCACGGTTGGCGCATCCTCCCGTCGTCTGCACCAACTCGGCTCCTCGACGGCCGCAACGCCGCAACAGTCTTCCACCCAAAGAAGACAAGATCGTCACAACGACATCGCTCAAGCAACAGCTGCGGTACGTCGACGACATGTGGGGTCCTTCCACCGCTTCTGGTTCTGCTCGTCAAAGCAGAAGCAAGACGCCGTCACCTCCCAAACACCTACCGGGGTCTCCACCCGACCGACCCAAACGAACATGCTCACCGCCACCGGCGGCCTAAGCTACCCTAGTCCAACCATGGACTTTTTGATACACATTCCTTTTTATATTCAAGGCTATCTATCTAGCCAAGCTAGGTAGCTGCATGATGCACTATACTGTAAATAATAGTATTCATACTCAACTGTACAAACATAACCAACCAAAAACAACTCATAGCTAGCTAGCCTTTAGGTCATAACGGCGGTAGCACCTAGCTAGCTAGCGAAAGAAGGACAACGCGGCTGCTCGTGGTCAACAGGAACAAATAATCCCCAACAGAAAGAGAAGCTGGCGGTCAAATCGTCCGCGGTCCTCCAATGACAAAAACACTTACTTCTTGCACAAAGAGGTGGCTTTTTGGGTTTATTTTCCTTGGTGGAGCAACTGCACTCGCAGCCTCCGGAGCAATGCCATGATCAAACAGAGATAGGGCTTTTGCTCCTGGAGTGTCCTGGGCAAACAGCAGTCTTTCGAATTGCGATTGCGGTTGCGGCGACACGTCAGGACGGTACCGAAAAAGTGGTTTTGTTCCTCCGGAGGCGTGTGTCCGTGTGGTACAAATTCGCACTGCGGAGAATCGTTCCAAAGGACCACTTGCAATTTGGCACAGAGCAAATCATCCGGTAACTTTAGTTCGCTCAAAGAGCTCGATGCATACAATGCAAATGCAAAGGGATAGATATCCATCATGGACAGGCGTGCTGCTGCCGAGGCACTGGGAATCTTGAGATCGTAGTCTCCCTTGGCAGTTGTGGTCGTGGTCGAGTTGATCCTCCATAGTAACAAGACATAGTTGCGGCATTCACGAAACAATCGGGGGCTCCGTTTGGGAGAAGAACGATTTGGATCCAACGGTGGTCGGCTTTCGCTCATGCGTGGTGTTCTCTCGACCAGCACAATGTCGTCCAACTTCTTCCTCTGGGACGGAGGTGGTGGTGTCCTAATCTTTTGGTTGGTGTTATCGTCTTGACAAGGTTTCCCATTGATTTGTGCTACAATCCTCTTGATCACCGTAACTTCCTTTTGCAAGTTACTGGCATGGAGAGCCCTGTCTGCCTCTTGCAGCAACTCTTCGGCCCATGCCACCGTCTCGTCGTGTGGGATCATCGTCAGTAGTGGCGGGCCTATACGAACGACAGAGTCGTCTTCCTCCGGTGGTGTGTCGGTTGCCATTATTTCCTCGTTCTGACGCTTTGATGCGTCTTCGACCATGTATGTGCCTTTGGTCCGTTGAGGCGGTGAATGGGGCGGGATGGTAAGGTCCATAGTACATGTAAGGATGCTATAGTCGTCATAAGCGGCTTCGAGAAGCAAGTCACCATCGTCCCTCGTTTCGGCGACTGTGTCCATCATGCTAATAGTCCAGTCTCAGTCCAACAAACCAGTTTCAAAGGTCCAGTCTAACCATACAAAGCATGCAACAACCTCTCATCCCATCCTCTATCTGTTGTCTCCCCAAAGCCAAAACCAAATCGTGGAGTGCCTGAAAACCGGAGCGAGGTCGCTCCCGGAACTTAGATTTTTCAAACCTTTGATAGGGTTGAGGGCAAAAAGATCTGAATGATGACGTCAGTCAAGTGTCACCCTTCAAAAGAAAGGGCAACCAACCGAGACAACCGTGCAAGCGATGGGCAAATCATAGTACCAACCTCTCCGGATAAGGACTGGGGCAGGCAGATATACCGATATATCCAACATGATGAGTATGTTACGAGTGGTGTCTATGCTAGTGCTGGTGGTGCTGTGCACTGAGGCTGCATCAGGTTGGACCACGCCTGAGCCTTTGGCTGTGAATCGATGGACCCATTCGTCGTCGTGTGGTTCAAGACCCAGCAATAATAATAAAGGCAGCAGTATCCTGTTTGTGTCGGCATCTTCGGCATTGGATGATGTGTCGAATGAGGAAGAAGAAGGGAACCATTTGATTACGGCGGGTCACTACTTCAAGGGAATTGACGATGATGTGGGTAACGCCATGATCAATGCAGGAAAGGCATGGACCACGGATTGGTCGTTGGTGGCAGAAGCACTGGATGAAGCAGCTTCTGCCTTTTGGGATACGCTCAGCAAAAAGAACCTACCAGCGGGATTGCAGACCATTTGTCGTTCCGTGGCACAAGAGTTGGAAGATATTTCAACCATTGAAGGATGTTCTTCCGTGGGACCGGCGTCCTCCTTGCCCAACTGGATCGCCATTCACGGATATCTAGAATCCGCTGCCAAGGCATACGAGGACGATCAAGAGCATCAGCACATTTACAAGATTCTCATACTCACTAGTCAAGAAATTGAAGCTCTCGTAGAGTCCATATGAAAATCATTCGATTCATATAAGAACACTGACTTGTGATACCGTAACCGTAGGTACCAAGTAACCCTCAAGATTCCCTAATCCATACCGTACAAATAGCAACAATTTACGCACTACAACCTCCTGATGTTGGTCCTTGCATCTCATATAGTGGCCCGCCCAATAGCAATCTCTCGTCAATGCAACAATTGAGCCCAGAGAAGAATACAAATATCAACCTACAATCTTTTGTCTGCAGCGATGGACATCCGGAACATCGATCTTTGCTGCCCCGTGAAAAGTGATATTGAAGAATCTCCCGATACGGCCGGGTCCGCGCCGGGAAGCTTCACAATAAAGCCCAAGCTCCATGAACATTTCTCGCGTGTTGTTGTCAGAACCAGCGCAGAATCCTCCAAACCATGAATGCAACAAGGGTAGAAAAAGATGAAGGCGGAGTTTGTGGAAAAGTTGGAGCAGCTGGGAGATCCAACGGAGCACAAGGCAGCCAACCACCAACATACGAAGAGAAATTTTCAAGAGCTGGAACCCTTTCGAGACCCGACATGGCTATCCGCAGAAGGGTGCTTGAGTTGGGACAGAACAAGGGCGAGGGGTGAGAAAAAAGGCAAAGCAAAGGCGGCACACAGCCAAAGCTCGTGAAAGGGGGCCGGCTGCCTACGCAACAAGTCACGCCACCAAAGTGGAAGTAGTTTAGCTAGCTAAGGAGAGAAGTACCTCCGAGTCGAGTCCGTGATTTGAACCAAAGAAAAGCGCCCAGGATCAGACCAAAGCGAGAAGAGGAAGCACCAAACAAGCTTGACTCCGCAAGACCAAAGGGGCAGGGTAGACAGAGGAAGGATCGCACCACCAACGGTAACACCGCGAGAGACTCGAGACAAAATCGGTGATGTTGGGAATAAAGGAGATGAAGCGGCAACGGTCGACGACCGTGAACTAGCACCAGCTGCGAGGGTCAGAGTTCTACTTGAAACGAGCCGTTGCCGAAAAGTGCAGGAGCCGGCGTGCTTCAAACAGCTTCGACGGGTTAAAAAGGGGCTTCCAAACGTGCAGCCTCAGCGACACCACCTCCAAACGTGCCAGCGACACCACCGCAACACCACCGCAGCAGCAACGCCATGGCCGATCTTGGACGACGGACCGATGAGAGGACGAACCAAAGGAACCACGGCAAGATGACGGAGTCACGAACGGCCACCACCATTGTCATCAACGGCCAAGGCACCATTGTCAAGACCTACGTTGGGAACTAAAGGGGATGAGGCGACAACGGTCAATGACCGTGAAAAAGCAATGGCACAAAAGACAGGAACAAGTGGACTTACCATTGCACGAGGACGACCCACCCCACAAAGGAACCACCGCAAGATGACTCTGGATCCGTTCAACCACACAGCGGTCCGCCGAGGGTTCATCAAAGAAGAACATCTCGAGGTACGTGAACGTGGGACTCTCAATACGTCATTGTCATCTCATGCGCCCACCCCAACTGGAACCACCGCAAGATGACTCTGGATCCGTTCAACCACACAGCGGTCCGCCGAGGGTCCATCAAAGATGAACATCTCGAGGTACGTGAACGTGGGACTCTCAATACCATCATTGTCATCGTCATGCATGTCTTTGAAGAAGACAGAAGGAGTTGTTGTGTTTTGTTGTGTTGTGTTGATAGAAAAAGCTTGTTTTTGATGCAACGGCGCTTCATCGAGGCAACGATCGTTTCTTTTGGGCGACAGCTTTTGAAACTCAAAGTTCGCTTCGTTTAAACCATAGCTTTTGAAATCAAAATAAAGAAACGCCGAGCGCTGATTGGTTGTGCGTGTTGTTTTCAATTTGTTGTTGGTTTCAAAATGATCTCGTCATTTGCTATTTTATTTTAAAATAGTCTGTGGTGCGGGGGTTTCAAATCCTTTGAAACGACGACGCGTCACTCTTGGTCGCTCGTCGCTCGTCAATCGAAGAAGGTACAGTAAGGAACGAGGTTTTGCGTTGGTTGCCCAACCGCGCATTTCGGGTCAAAGAGAAATGACATCCCCCCACTCTCGGATTACAGACGCTTCTGGTATCATTGCTTCTGTCCATATAACGGTGTCGCTCATGCATACCGGTGTCTTGAGTTACAAGACATCGAGATGAAAGAGAAGGGGGGACAACTTTGCAACCCGGAAGGAATGATCAATCGTTTGTGACCAAGAAAGCACGGGCAAATCGAGAGCTTTACGCAGCCCGTGAAAAGAATAATGAGCCACATTGAAGACGAAAGAAGAGAAGGTGAAGAAACGCGACGCTGGAAGTGGCGCAAAGGAGTCTGCTTTGATCCGGACGCAACATTCGCGAACAACCCGCAAATGGCGCCTGCATTAATGCGGTACTGCCGGGGCGGGTGGAAGAGTCGATGGAGTAAAGTGTGAACAAGTCACCAAAGAAGGAGATGATGAACAGGAACGGGGCAAAGACTAACCTTTGTGGAAGACCGAAATAGTCAACCTCAAAGCAGTTGACGGGCCAAGCCACACTCAAATCTGGACGGTCGCGGGTGCGCAACCCCCCCCCCCCAGCACAGAACTCTACTCAAGAGATTGACTGATGTTTTGGGAAACAGGAACATCGTTATATTGGATTGCCATGTACTCCTTTTAACGTCAATTGTATTCTATTACTTGTTAAGATTATGATAGGTTACTTTGTACTAGGACAATCATGCGTTGTTTACGTCATGATCAGTAATATTCTAGGTAGGTATCACCGGCTCTACTTTGGGATTCTTGTTGCCGAGCCATTGCTCCTAGCTAGGCCAGCTCTGCATCCAAGGCCTTGGGTTCATCGTCCTCCCTGGACTCGCTAAAAGTAACCTTTCTTGCATCACGCAACGGGTCAACAATGGTGACATCCTCTTCTTCTTCTTTGCTGTTGGAAGAGGGTAAAAATACTTGTTCCTCTTGTGGAAGTCTAGTAGACCGTTGGCGGGAGAAGTTTTCCTGGTACACCTTGATGGCAACGCCAAAGAGCAAGACGGCTGCCACAAAGGCCACAACGACGCCTGCCCTGCTCCTGTTGTTCTCTCGTTGAAACTCGTCTTGTGTCTGTCCATGAATGTTGATGAGCTTGCACTTGCCCAATGTCCCATGATTGGCAGTGACTCCAGCTCCCCACAGGTACTCTTGAAGATCGTGATCATTGCAGGAGACTCCCAGACAACTGAGGCTATTCTTGATGCGGATGAGAGGATTGAATTCTTCGCATTCCAAGAGAATGTCCGAGGCATAGAGGGTCCCTCCATTGGACTCACACGTCTCTAGTTGCTTCTCGGCACAATCCGCGTTGTGTTCTCTCACGTCATAGACGCACTGGAGGGTACTGCTGTGGTCGTACCGCCTGTTGGTGCAGTAGGTTCCAAAGTTGTTCATCAAGGCATCTAGATCCACTTGATCACACGTCTCGATGGAACTGGCCGATCGAAAGGAAGACGTCATTAGGAATTGGACATCCGTTGTCTCTTTGCAACAAGTGCTACTCAACGGCACAAAGCGTCCATTTTCTCGGCATTCAGTGTACAGCTCTCGTCGTGCCTCTAGGGGATGGTTGGGCTCTGCTCCAGCCAAGGAGGGGCCCGTCATGGTCAAGACAATCATCAAAAGCTTCATGGTCGATCGATGAGTATATATAATGCAGCAATTGAATGAGGAGATGGAGAGGTCAAAGAGTGAGTAGTCCAGTCTTTTGAAATGAAGCTCCTTCTACCGTCGACGTAAACTGAAGTTGTCGTGTGAGAGTTTTGTGGTGGGATGGAGTGGACCGATTCGTGGATATTTGAAAATTGAAAAACGCATTCTGTCCTTGATTTTAAGCCTCCACGTATTCTTGGTGTAACAATCCATTTTACAAAAGGCAGATGATCCAATTGGTTCTTCTAAGAAAGGGCACTCCTTTGCCAAATTTCATTCTCCCTCCTTGGAATTGGTGCAATTCGAGCGATAGCTGTGGTTTTGAAATTCAAGTTACCACGTGCCTCATTTGCAAAGACAGCAAAACGGACCAAAAAATCAATAATGCAGTGGTGGAAGACCATCATTGGCGAGGAAAGAGTAAGTTAAGTCAGAAAGAAAGCAGAGGGGAAAAGACATCCTGATGACAGCCGCTTTCTTTCATGGAGAAGTGATGTTGCTCAAGTGCTCAAGCTTCGAACTTTTAAGGTGCTGCATTTTAAAACAAAATAGATCAGTATCGTGAATCTTCAATTGTATCGTCCAAGGGAGCAGTCTAGCTAGCTAGTGGACTGCAAGAGGTAGGGAGACTGTTGAGTACTGACTCGTGTAGCTATTAGCAAGCATGAAGATTCCAATAGCTTTACTGTCGTTTAGTTTACATTTTAATTAACTACATTATGTACATGTTTTGGTTCTAGCTCGACAGCGGGGGTTCACGGTTCACGGCACCCAGGCTGGTGGCACCACAGACACTGCAAAAACGGTGCAAATGGCAACTTCACGACGACTGCAGAAACGTACAATGCACCTAAGTCAGACTCATGCCTTGTTCCTATTGGTCTCGTCAGTGGAGCATTCTTCGTTTTCGTCGAGGTTAGGCAGCGATAGCGATAGTGCAGCTTGAATGGCGGTTGCCTTTCCTTCCACGGAACCAAATAGAGCGTCACCAAGCTCCACATCCCCGCGCTCTAGGGCAATGTCGCCCTTCACAACATCACGAAACATCTCCAAGGACCACTTCAACAATTTATCCTCCAAAAAGTCTTCCACAAATACAGAGGTGCTTTGGAAGATTGTTGCCAAGATTCGAGGCAACATGATGGACATACGTACTCTCATGATGGCGGTGTCCCCGGTTTCCGAAAACTCGACAAGTCCTCTGTTCTTCAATCCTGATACAGACTCCCACTCGATCCCCTTCAGCGGAGGCTGAAGTGGTTTGCTGATGGCGCGCCACGTGAATTGCACACCTCGAACATTCAGAGTCCATTCTGTTTCTCTGCCATCATCCAGGTAACGCACAGACTGAACCCAAGGCGACCATCGCGACTGTTGAGGAAAATCTGTAAAACGAGCACATCCAATCTCAGCAGAGAAGGGAAGTGGCAAGGAAGCAACCAACTTGACTTCCCGGCCACTGCTGCTGGTCGCCGTCGATGCTTCGTAGTCGTCAGCACCTTGGGGTGTTGTTACTTGGTTTGGTTCTGGTATAGAGGGCGACGAGAAGAGCGTGGGCGAATCTTCCGCGGGTAGCTCAAAGAAAACAAACGAGTCTCTGAGCTCATCCAACCCCAAACCATTTAGTGCTCGACTCAAAGACAACACGTTGAGAAAACCGTTCTCATTCACATAGGAAGCAAAAGAAGGACGAAGAGTGTCGCCGTCCAACATTGCAAACGTTCCTACACCATGAGAGAACCGCTTGGCATCGCCTGTAGCGTCCGAAACAGCACCCAGAATTGCCGCATAAGCAAGTCCAATCCCCGAATCGAAAGAAGAGGAGATTGTAACCCCAATGCCCAGCTCGTTGCGGGCCAACCGAGCGATTTGAAGGGTTAGCTCAAGGCCAAGGAGGGAAGGTTTCAGAACAAACGCAGCACAACCACGATTGCCTTTTCCAAAAGACTTCACTATTTCCTCCTTCATGGATGATATTCGATAGCTGTGTTGCTGTGCGAGGTCATCAAAAGACTCGTCAAGGGCCCAGGGGATACCAGTTTGCATGTACCACTGTTCCAATGCAGAGACTTGATTCTCAAGGGACCAACCATGAGTGTCTTGCCGTTGCAATGGCTCTTCCACGAATTCCAGGCGACCTAGCGCTCTCGCATCTGTGCTCTGGAGAGCAGTTACGAATTCCATTGCGGTCTCCTCGGTCCAAGCCCTGTTTGCATCGGCCCTTATTGTGCCGCTGGTTGGTCCTCGATATTCTTGGCTCTGCTTCAGAGTTTGAGCCAACGACGCTGCATCATCGACAGCACCTTGGTGGCCTACTTTGACCTTCAATGACGGAAACATTCTCCTTGCCTTTTCTTGCAGAGCACTGGTGTATGCGGATCCCCTCGTGATAAGACCGTTCACGGGGAGCATGGCATTCAATGTCGAAGCTCGACTATGCTCAGGCGCAAACGAAACAAGCGCCTGGTGTACTGGGTTTTGAACCACCTGGGATGCCAAGGAGAGCAGTGCCATTTCCAATCCCGCCCGTACTGAGGATGTTAGCTGCGTCACACCAGCATCTCGAGCCAGCTCGTCGATGAAGGGTTTCAGTTCGCCATCCATTGCCAAAACCGATGCGACTTCAAACTGAGTCTTGGTTCCGTCTTCATTTTCCAGATAGTGCTTCAATTTGCCCAGCTGAGTTTCTGCTTCGGCCAAGGTCTCCTTGTGCAGACCCGGCAAAGGACTGACCTCACCGACACCAACTTTTGACCCATCGGAACCCACAATCTGCAGTATGAAACCAGATCGATTGGTCATTTGGCTTGACCGTTTAGCTTTGTCGCCCCAGCCGATACCGAGTACGCCTCTCTGTTTTCGGTTTTCATCCACCGTATTGATGACAAACGGGTCATACTCAAGCGATGAGACGGCTTCCGTTAGATTTGCCATCGGAGCCTGGAAGGTTGACTCCACGACTTGATTCTGAAGCTGCCTTGACTCTGCTCCATCTTTTCTGCCTCTTCTTCCGAATAGTGGAGGCAAGCGGCTTTTTCGAGGAGGCTCGTTCTTGAGGATGTCCTCGCTAAGGATAAAGTTACGCAATGAGGTAGCCACAGTCTCAGAGGCTTCCACTAAAAGTGCATGGCCGGCATCTGGCACTTCGACGAAGGAAATTCCAAGATGACTCCAGCGCTGTCCCAGCTCAGTATACTTCGTATCTCGTCCTCCAGCGACGTACAGAGTGCTTTCAGGTTGCACTCCTCTCCAGTCCTCTTTGCTATGGCGAGGCGGGGAGCTCTTGCGAAGAACTTCTGCAAGGTCAACTCCCCTGTACGACAAAGTGCGCAGCCGCTTCGCAGCCATCAGCTCGAAGCTTTTCCCGCTCGTGTAAAGATCGCCCCACATCGGCATTGAGTACCACTTCTTCAGAAAATCAGACCATAGTAGATTGCTGCCTGACGATGCTCCAAGACATCCACGGTTCCAAGTTGCTGCGAGCTGCCCTGCCAACCTTTCGTCGTTTGACAAACGAAGCATATCTTCCTTGGGTGTGATCGAAGCGAGTTCCCCATCAGGTTGAGGTAACTGACCAGGAAAAGCACTCAGCAGTACAAGCTTTGTGTTTTCCTTCACCAGAGACGGTGTGGCGCCAGCAGCCAAGGAGCACAAGCGCTTCATAGCCAGAGCAACTCTTCCGCCCAAGCTGTATCCTGCTAGGGCATCAATCCTCGTGACACCAAAATCTTTGGACAGAGACATGATCACCGACTTAGCCATCTCATCGACTGACAGGCGTTCGTCAACCTCGTTGAAATCAATGTTCAGAGCCGACCTTACAGCCTGAGTGTCCGACGAGTACAGCCTAGCAGATGCGCCGTGGCCTGGAAGATCCACAGCCAAGATATCCCAGCCATCAAGCTTATCCCGGAGAGCTTCGCCAACGTCGTCCCACTCTGTTTTGTCGCCCATCCACCCATGGATGAGCACAAGAGTCTTCCTATCTTCTCCGTTCACTTCTTCATCCGAGGGAGATGCTCCGTTGGTATGCTCCTCTGGTCGGCTGTAATACTTGACAGGCATTGGTTCCCCGCTTTCTTCAGTGCCGTCTTCGACCAGAAAACTCGCGACGAATGCGTTCACTTTCTGGGTTATCCGTCGATGAACCGCAACATTCTTTTCTCTCCCAACTACTCGAGCCTCAATGAGCGACGATTGGTCAGACCTTATGGCTTCGGCATACGCTCGACAGAACGAATCAAGCCGCGATGCTTGCTGGCTCGGAAGACCGAACGCATCGGCGCCATCCTCGAAAGAGAATGAGCTTGTCGGTGTCCCAAAAAAATCGTTGAAGGAAACATCTGCTCCATGCTTTGCTATTGGCAAGAATGAGAAGATTCCCCCGCCATCGTTGTTCACCAACAGTATAGTAAGAGGCTTCTTTGCACTGGTTGTGCCACTGGACAGAGCATGGAGCGAGTTGAGGTCGTGAAGGGCGGACAAGTCGCCGATCAACAGCGTAGTCGCCACACCCGTTGACTCGGCAAAACCAGTAGCCGATGCAATGATTCCATCAATTCCGCTGGCACCTCTGTTGCTGCCAACGGAAAGGACTCCTCTATCGCTAGCGTTATCAGTGGTTCCCGTTGGGTACAGGAAGAATTCAGCATCCCTGATGGGCATGGAATTGGACAAGAAAAGTGATTGGTCGATGATGCTGTTGGACATCATCATTGATAGAGCTAGTACAACTTGAGGTTCAGTCAGTGAAGAATCTAGGTCGTCCTTTGAAACTGATCTCGAAGCCTCATTGATGATCTTCGGCATTTCTCGCTGCAGCTTTCGTCCCAGCAAAACCAAAGGAGCGAGCTTGCTGCCGCAGCCTCTTTTGCTAAGTTCAGATTTGTCGAGATGATTCGAAAGGACCTTCAAGAAAGGAGAGATTTCTGCAGATATCTTCCTTGACACAGTAAAACTGGGGTCCGCACGTTCGGTGCCGTGATGGGGATGTATCAAGACGTGGCAGGCAGAGGAACCACCAGTCCGCAAGGCGTTGGAAATCATGCTGGGCACTTCAGCTGAAACCAAAGGAGCCCCTATCTGTATGATGAGGTCCGGCTTGATGTTTTGCGCTACTTTTGGGTTCTTGAGGATGTGCTCCGCAAAGGGAATGACAGCAGAGCTCGAAAATCGCAAATGGGCGTTTTGTGCACCTGCCACAATTGGAAATCCGATGGTCTCTGCAAAGGTGCTGATGTTATCATACATGGCTTCGACTGAATCCATCGAGTCTTCGTCTGTTGGCCGCCGAATGTTGCCAATGACAATGATACCACGTTCTGATTCCATAATCAGGCGTGCAAGATCAACGACAGCTGCATGAGAAGTACCCATTCCGCCGTAGTTGCCAGAGGACATGGCATAGGACGTTAGCCAACGATCACCGCTTGTGGACCATCGTGCGAAGCCCGGTACGTCCGTGAATCGGACCCCATTGAATTTGGTGACAGAATCAACACGGTTATCGTTTCGGAGAGGCCCTACGTCGGGCGCAAGATTTTCACGGAACTGTATATTGACGTGCACTGGACCTCTTTGGCTCTTTGATATTTCGACTGCGTGTCCTGCATCAGCCAACGCCACGGAAACAGGCACGTCGTCATGAGGTGGCAAAATGTCACGAAACCACCTCACGTAAGAGGCAGAGTACGCCTTGACTTGATCGATGGCTTGGTTGGCTCCAGTGTCTCGATTCTCGTACGGTCGATCAGCCGTTAGAATGACCATGGGGACGCCGTCCATACCTGCCTCGACGACCGCAGGATAGAGATTGGCAATGGCAGTACCGCTGGAAGTGATGATTGCCGCTGGTCTGTTTGCCCCACGTGCGTATCCTATGGCTCGGAATCCCGCGCCGCGTTCGTCGTGCACACTTACTGCATTTACGACGCCAACGTTGGATCGCGCTGCTCTGGAGATTGCTACCACCAAAGGAGTCGATCGCGAACCGGGGCAGACATAGAATTGAGTGATTCCGTTGCGAATCAGCTCCTCAACGAAAGCACTCGCCCAAGCAACATTGGGGGTTGGTGCGCTTTGCAGAGTAATCGGGGACTGCGGGAAGAGCGACGAGACAACACCAAGCTTGTACGAAGTTTCTGCCCATTCTCCCTGAACCGTTGACCCCGGCACAAGACCTGCTCCAGCATATGCTGAAATCTTCGTGGTTGGACCGTAGCCTGTCAAATCTCCATTGCCCGCGTACATACCATCGGGGCTGGAGATGCTTTTCGTTGGAGATGCCAAGCCCGATCGGATTGCAACCAAAATATCGGCTGCATTTCGTCCCATGTAACCTACTGGGCCAGAGTAGAAACCGCGGTCAAACCCAACAGTTTCCTTCTCGCGTATGAAGGCCATCGCAGGCGCAGAGGGGAAGCCATTGACAGCCGGTGTTGGGTGCAGATTAGCCAGCAAGTGTTGAACGACATTTACCAGTACGGAAGCTCCAGTGTTGTCAAAGTCCGAGGTCTCAGCCAGGCGCGCAGAAAAACGTTGGCAAATGTGCTGTAAGTGCCGCAGCCGCCGAACGAAATAACCAGTGCCGCTAGCTGCGGTCATTCCTGCCGTCGTCTGGTTTACCGGATTCGCCCTATCCACAGAGCTATCGCCATTGTCGAGCGACGACCGTTGCGGCAGCATCACATCCGTTTCTCTTACCCATCCAAATTTGGCTAATTCTGCGAAGACGCTTCGAATAAAGTCGGCCGTGATGCTGTTTTCGCTGCGATCTTTCGTTGACCCGAAGAGATCGCGAAGAAGCTCGTCGTCGGCGGCCTGAGTTGTCCCTCGTGGTCTCGTTCCGGCTAGGGCTTCGGTTAGGACGACGTTGGAATTTTTCTGAATTGTGAACAGCCGTTCGGGTGTACACCCAAAGAACTCCTCGCTTCCCAACGGACGAATATAGAACAGGTTGCCACCTTCATGAATGTCGTTGTACTTCCACTTGCGCAGGATATCCAATGCTGACAACTGGGATTGAAAAAGCAAGTCCATGCGTCGAGCTAAAACCACCTTTTTGAGACCAGACTCACTCTTCCCAAATTCCTCCAAGGCGGCAGTTACTCCTTGCTCGTATAGTTCCTGCCCATCGGTGCCATTATAGCAAGACTCTCGCATGATAACCGGGGGCAACGTGGTTGCCGGAACTTGGTTGTCCATGACAGCATCGTTCAACCGTTTCAGGATTTGAAGCGATCGACGAGCCGCATCTTGCCATGCTGTCGCCGGGTCACTAGAAGCGCCGCCATCAACAGCCAAGTGGACGGCCAAAGTGGTTTGCTTTCGCTTGTTCGCGGGAGCGTCAGTTGTCCGTATGACTTGCTCCATTGGCTCTTCTCGAAGCTCCACGGCTGGCAAAACCCACCAGGTCGCCCCAAAGTCTTTCCAGTCAACACGATCTTCGTCGAGGGACTCTACGTCGAATCGTTCCCCTCCATAGAGATACGAGTCTTTGGGGAGAGAGTTAACTGTTGCCCAGAATTCTGGACGGCCCTTTGTAGGTTCAACCCATGTCCATGCCGTCCCAAACACCGCAGCTTCGACAGTTGACTGAATATAGAACAAAGGATCTTTCTGGCCAGGCTCCAAATAGAGCTGGCGTTTGTTTTGTGCATACAGCCACCCAAGAGGGTCCACAGAATGGGACACGGTCTGTTCAATTCTTAGAGTTTGCGTGCCCACTGATTCTTCGGTACCGAAAGCTGCCAAGTCTCCCAAAATCGACTGGAGTTCACCCCGATTAGCGTTTGCGAGGACTTGCAGGGCCTTTTCGAGACGATTTAGTGCCTCAAACAAAGGCACACCAGTCAACAAAGGAGATTCCCTGTCTCGTTCACTTGCCTCGAAGAGCGATGCCATGCGTGGGAAGAATATTTGATCAGGATTCAGAGTTTGCTGGCTGTGACAAATGCCGCTTTGGTCTGCAGACCTCGATGATGATTCCGATCCGTTTTCCAGTTGGACTGATGTGGCCATATTTGAATATCGTTCAAGTGACTTTGGTGTGGGACTCCATATCCTTTTGATTTCACGAGTCTGCCATTTCCGATACCTTCGCGCGGTGTTGCCACTTGGCCCCAACGAAAATGAGTCAACCATCGTCAACAGCAGCATGCCAATGAAAAGTACAGACGTGGCGAAATTGAGGAAGCCAGTCTTTCTGGTCGCTTTAGAGGCTTGTTGTCGACTTTTCGATGTATCAGCATTTTTGCTGGTCATATCCGCAACGAATTCATCGAAGGAGATCAGACCATCGTGCTAAAAGAAGAAGCACTCGTCAGGTTACGACAAAATCTTTGCCGAGTCGTCAGAATGGCAAAACGAGGAACTTACATCAGCATCGACTTCGTTGATTATTTTGGATACGATGGCGGCGTCGGTGGCTTCATCTCCGGTCAGGAAATTGGACAAAGCGACTTTCAAGTTGTCCATGGTAATGAAGCCCGTTTTGTTGACGTCCCACACATCAAAAGCTCGTTTGTACTTTCCGCTCTTGAGGAAGTCGTCCTCGTTCATGGCGGCTACAACGAACTCGCTGTACTACTCATCCGAGAGAAAGCAGTCATAAGCAGACCAAAGGGTATTAGCAAGCACTCACTCGTGCTGGATTCCTTCGTTGGGGACAGCAACGTGCTTACCTCGATGTAACCCGTCGATGCCACGTCCACCTGGGATGCACCAAATCGAAAGGAAATGTCAGTATCTCACGTTCTCAGCCTACAAGGCAAAAATCAAATAGGACCTACGCGCTCGAACACGTCATCCACCGCTTGATCACTAAGGTCTGTACCCAAGAAGTTTTTCTGAACCACATATGAGAACCATTGCATGACGTTTTCCAAATGGGATGCACCTGCCTTCGAACGTACCAATGCCAACCTGATTTCAGTTCTGCTTAGTCTGCCGTTGCATGTCACATCAAGTCTACGGAATACAGCATCAATGGCTTCTTTCTCCTTTCTACATTGCATAGTTGCACAAAGGCCAGATACAAGGATTTGATTTGAGAGTATCGTGAACCAGGCGCAAAACACGACCACACAAACCACATACTTTTCTAGCAGCTGGGAAGAAATCAGAGAGAGAGAGGCCTACGAAGATAGGACAATCAAATTAGAACAAGGTCGAGGCAAGGCTTTTTCTAAAGCAAAAGGACAATGCACAAAGCTACTTCTTCTTGAGGAGATGAAGTCTGACCCTGACCATGACCGTGTCATGGCAAGCAATGATGCTTTGGAACTTCGTGCATTGACGGAAAGAACCATCATGGTCAAACAGATGACACTTACCTGCTTTAGCTTGCTGTTGGCTGAGAACTTCACCAGATTGGAAAGCGCTTTGGTCATTGCATCATGATCGCCCGGTTTCATCGCGGCCACTGTCTGTTGAGTTGCAGAGCGGATCCAAGGATGTTGAAGCGCTTCTTCGGCTGATAGGCGCTTGTCTTCATCCACTGTCAAAAGTTTCGCAACAAAATCCTTGGCCATCTCGGAGACGTGAGCCCAATGCGGTCCATCCAACGAGAATTTTCCACTTAGAACCATCGCCATGATCTCTTGCTTGCCCTCCCCATGGAACGGAAACTCGTCGGATAGTAACAGGAAGCTAATCACACCTGCTGACCACATGTCCGCCTGGCCGGGAAGAACATCATCAAAGACGAACAGAATATTGCAAGTGAGAAACGATCGCAAAGGAATGCATATCGAGTACAAGGAAACCCTTACCTTCTTTCCATAGTTTCCGGCGAAGACTTCAGGTGCGGAATAGTGGATTGCTGGGACAGAAAACGAGAGGATCATTAGCTGGCATTGGTCCAGTCAGTGGACTGAATGAGTACGAGCAAAACCATGCAAGCAACGTACTGCCCCACCGCCGCGTCAGCCTTTGATTAGGTGCCTTTTTGATGTTCGCAGCGAAACCAAAATCGATGACTTTGATCTGACTTAGTTCTTTGTTGGCTTCGAGTAACAAGTTTTCGGGCTGCCAAGTAGAAACAAGAAGAGTCCAACACGACGTTATAGCCTTCACACAACCAACAAAATCAGCATACAAGAACCTTCCCCTTTTACTATTATAATGAGCGTACCTTGAGATCACAGTGCACGATATCCAGGCTGTGCAAATAATTGATGCAACTGAGCAATTGTTTCATGAGCAATGCTGCTGCGTGTTCGACAAAGGCTCCAAATTCATCCAGTTCATCACACAAATCTCCACCATGGGCTGCATCCATTACAATGTAGAAAAAGTTGGGGTCTTCAAACAGTTCAAACTGCTTCAAGATATTGGGATGATCCAATTCTCGCAGGATGGTAAACTCGTCCAAGATGCGTCGATTGTATTCCACGTCCTTTTGGGCCTTGCGCACCAGTTTGACGGCGCGTTCGGCTCCCGTTTCCTTGTGCCGACAAAACCAGACGGCCCCACAGCCACCTTCGTTGACAAACTCGAGCAATTCGTAATGATGACTGAGTCGTCCCGGTCGTTGTGCAATAAAATGTTTGGCACTGAATTTTAAACTCAATCGATCCATGAGCGACGATCGACGACGGGAGAGCCTGCTGTCGGTGCTGAGCGACGATTCCCCAGATGGTGATGGTTGTATTACTTGTTGTGGTGGTGTTGATTCGAAATTGATATTATTTTCCGAGGAGGATTGTAGTGACAAGGGACTCGTCGCAGCATTATTGGTGACGGTACTTGGCCGCCCCGATTTGGGAATGGCCGTTTCCAAAATCATGGCGACCAATTCTTCCACAGCCACGACATTCTTTTCGTATTCCTGTGCGTCCGATTCGACTTGTGCGAGTAAATCTTGCACCACTTGTGTGCGGGTTGTTGTGTTCGCCGCCGCAATGTACGCCTGCAATCCATCCATCAAGTCGCTACAGGTGACCAATCCACTGTGATTGGTATCAAATACTTCAAAGGCTTCCTGTAGGGCATGCGTAAATAGCAATTCCTTTTCATTGAGGACAGCGACAAAGAAATCCAATCCTTGCAATGACCCGGTGGCGGCAGCATCAAATTCGCCAAAGACCCGATCCAAATCGTCGTCGGAAAGATCAATACTGTGATGAAACAGGACACGGTACGCCGCTCGCACATCGTCTCGAGACAGTGACGTGTCTTCCAATAAACTGAGATTGTGTGTTTCGAGGAGTACCGCCTGGGTCCGATTCCATTCGTTTCGAATTTGAGTGTGTGCTTGAACAAAGGCGTCAATGGCCGCTCGTTGTTGCAATCGTTCCTTTTGCTTATTATTGTTGTCACTTTGGTGTGTCATTTCTTGAATGACGTGGAGTGGTGGTTGACTCGTGCCGCTGGCACTGAAAAATCCACTACTGCCCGATGTCAATCCACTACTGCCCGATGTCAATTGTTGTCGGAGTGAATCAATACTGTCACTGGTGGTTTGAAGTCGCAACAAGGGTGGTCCTCCCATCATGACATCCGAGTCGTCTTCTTCAATCATGTCGTGTTCGGAACGAATATTCGTGCGGTCCAGTGTATTGCTGTCAGTACTTTCAGTGGAAGCAGTAGAACTAGCAGTGCGTTCCGAAGAAAATGCCCAATACGGTTGCAACCATGGATGTTGCAATGCCTGTTCGGGTGTCGGTCGTTCGAGTTCGAGTGGCGCCAGTAATCGATCGACGAAATGTTTTCCTTCATTGCTGCACGCTTGCCATGCGGGCCATGTGCAAAAGGCTTGGAGCAACCAATGGTCTTGGGATTGAATAGAGAGAACGCGTTCCTTGACTTCGGCGAATGTACTGCCATCGAGTGGGAATTGATTTGTCAATAAGACGTGAGCAATGATTCCTAATGACCAGACATCGCATTTGGGTCCGTAACTCTTGTCAATGGCGACGACTTCTGGCGCCATGTATCGTATAGCGCCTCGTGGTTCCATGAGCCGTAATCGCGACAAGACGGCGGATGTGTGATCGTCCGTAAGATCCGCCAGCACAACGGCATTGGCAAAATCGGTCAACTGGACCTTGTATTGTTGTGGTTGATCTGATGGTGGTTGTTGTTGTGCTACTTTTGTGACAATAAAAGTGTCCAATTTGAGATTGCAATGAACCACGTGTCGTTGATGAATGTAGTTGATACAGGACATCATTTGATAGAGCATGGAAGCAACTTGAGCTTCCGTAGTGGTAGCTCCAGTGGCAAGTTGTGTTTGCAAAAACGCCTGTAGGGATTGTGTATTGGGATTGTAGAATTCCGTGACAATATAGTAAAAGCGGGAGTCTTCCATGATGATATCGTCTCGTAAGCGCAAAATGTTTGGATGAGAAAACGACTTGAGCAAGGAGAACTCTTGCAAGTGATGTCTGTGGGGATGTACTTGGTTCAGGTAGTGACTGGCACGGTGGGGTTTGCGTGGTTGGTCCAGACTGATGTTGCTGCTAGCCTTGCTAGTAGTACGTGTAGTACTGGTCACTGCCGTAGTGGCAGTGGTGGAGGAATTCCATCGTGACTTTCGTACGACTTTGACGGTCAATTCGTCTCCTGTGGATTCTTGAAAGCAAGTGTACAGTTTCCCAAAGCGTCCCACACTGCACAAGTAGGCTGCCATTTGGTACCGTTCGTTCCAGAGATCACAGTCGGGAGTGGCGTGCCACCAACCCATGGGAATCGTAGGCGCACTGGTGGAACTACGGTGCAAGAATGCTCGGCGAAGTGGCATAGGCGGACCTCCTTTGTTCACGGAAGAAGATCTCTCGGAGGAACTTCTCTGGAACAAACCATGCGGCTTACTCGTTGTAGTAGAAGTAGAAGTGGCAGAGGCATTCGTGGAAATACTGCTCGTCACACTGCTGTTCTTGCTGTTGCGGTTGTTCCGGATGTTCCTCAGTGTCATTCTGTCATGTTCATCCTTACTATGTTGATCTTGAACATGTTGATCTCTACCAGTAGAGACTGCCATGGCGCCTTCACCTTGTGTTCCTTCACTAGTCTTCAAGTCCTTCTCTCCTTCTTCCTGTTCCTCCACAAACAGCTTCTTTCTCACCATGATGCTATGATGATGAGGTACTAGCTAGTATGAGGATGAAGTCAACCAAGCATGCAGTAAGGCTTGCTTGTACTTTTTTGGTTTTGTATCTTTGGTTCTCCACATGTACGATGTCACATCTCACATCATTCTTTCGTGGTGCTGCAAGCTGCAAGCTGCTCCTTACCGCACACGCCTCCAACTGTCCCCATCATTCGGTGACGCCACTTCAACTTTCTTTCAAGTTCGAAATTGACTCGACTCGACTCGACTCGACTTAGTCGGCTGGCTTCTACATACATGTAAAGGCACGTATGAATCTTCAATCCACCCTTCCCTACTCTAAACCCCCTACTTCAAGTCAACCAAGCATGATTGGTACCGTAGCTGTTGATTAGGGGTAGGTACCTTACTCTTGACTCAGGTGAGTCTTGTCAAGACTGAGTTAGATTTCTCAATTCCAAAATTATGACAGTGTCATTTCAAATTGAGTCCCACAAAAGGGGCGCTGCGCCGGCGCTGCGCCGGCGCTGCGCCGGCGCTGCGCCCCTGTGGCCATTTTGTGGGACTCAATTTGAAATGAAACTGTACTAATTTTAGAATTGAAAAAGCTAGATTCTACATGCACACTGGTACAAAGTCAGCATTACTGTATTGAAACAGAGGGAGTTATGTGAAAGTGAGGATGCCATCCCGCCAAAATAACGTCCTGATACTGGTACCCATCAACTGCTAATTACCATGCCATCCGTGACATGGATGGGAAAAGCATAATTCGTGCCAGAGATCCCAATTCGGATCTGTTCCACATAAACACAACACCAAGACGCAAGGAGACTTACGTGTGATCCACTCTCTTTCCATTGCTTCCATACTACATCAATAAAAACAAGCATGCCCAATACTAGTACTACTACATGCAACCCCCAAGACGGCAACTATCGCTATGTGGCGGAACGGCGTCAATACGGTGGTCTATTGCTGATGACGGGCTTTTGTGCCGTCATTCAACCACTGGCACGCATTACCACTGCGGTTGGACCCAATGGTCCTCTCGTCACCGATGTGGGAGATGTCGCCTTTTGGCAATTTGTCGGTGCCTGTTGTGTGCTAGCGATTGGACTGTGCAGTATGCTCGTGGGATTCATCGAGTTGCTCATGGACCGGAGTGGTGAAGTCACACAGCATACACTGTTGATTGGTTTGACACAGACGGCATGGATATTGTATATAGCGGATATGACGGCGGTGGGATTGACCATGGTGCAAGATCCACCACAATTCTTTCTGCCCTTTCCCAATGATACCACCGAAACTAGTTTGGCCAATCAGCAGAAACTCAATGAATCCACTGAAGTCATCTTTATTGGGTCTTGTGGGTGAGTGTATACAGCTAAGGACGTAAAACCTGGAATGATCTTTCCTTACTGACACTGCCTCTTTTTGTCTTTTGTCGTTTTCTAAAATACAGAATCGCCGGCATTTTTAGCTACGGATTTGCCTTTATCGGATCCATTGCGTTCATGCAGTTTGCACTCTACACGTTCCGCCAGGGGCGACCCCACCATCGGGATGCCGATTACTTTCGCGGACGCTTAGGGGTATACAGCAGTCTGCTCTTTATTGCCGGATTGTGTCAAATTCTACTGGGCAGTTTTGCCACGGAACTCAATTTACAAAATGGACGCATCCAAGGAGGATTGATCCGGGTCGCCATGTTTGTCGTACACTTTCCCTACATTACCATTGTCGTGGGCGTGCTCCAGTTTCTCAATGGATTTTGGGGATTTTGTCGGGCATTCTACATTGGTGTGGGAGGGCGAGATGATAACTGGTTTCAATACAGCATGGCGTTTTTATGGATTGTTGTCATTACATTTCAGGATGTCGTGCAAATATCCTATCTGCCCGAAGGAATGCTGGCACCCACGGCGCCCACATTGGCGGCCATGTCCTTTGGCATTATTTTCATGCCCGCCTATTTGGACTACAAAATGAGAAATACACCCGTACGAATGGACGACAATTATTACTTTGGACAAGTCGTGCCATCGCCCAAGGACGACGAAAAACCCATGTTGGTGCGGGCCATTCCGAATACATTTGGAGGTGGATCAGGACCCATGCGAAAGGTATATGTCATGGAAAAGCCAGGGTACTATCAGGATGATTTGGAGGATGACTATTTCTACAATGCCGATGATGATGATCATGTCGTTGATGTCGTCGAACCCGGCTACATCCCCAATAGTCCAGCAGCCCATGAAGAAGTGACTCCAGCAGCCCCAGAAGAGGCACCTCCAATAGAAGAAAAGACTGCTGACGAGCCAATTAACAATGCCATGGATGATGAAGAGGCGCCCACAAACAATCCCAACTACTAGCCAGCCAGAAAATGATGTACAGCTACCGTATCTTTTAATCTTCTTGTATCTACTAGTCTACGTCTGTCTACTTCCACGCTGCTGCCTTCTGAACTATACTATATATTGATGCAATGATACCTTCATCATCCCATCTTCATCCCATCAAACATGCGCACCAATCCACTCCACATGTTCTTTTTCCGCTTCTTTTCCTCCTTATTGTCATTGTCAACTCGGACGTCGGCAGAATTCAACATGGTCGCCACAAAGTCGTCATACGTAATCCGACCATCCCCCGATCGATCCACTTCCGATATTATCTTGTGAAGCACACGATCGCTCACAAGCTGCTCATCCTCAGTGCCGTCATTGCCATTGCTGCTTAAAAAGTTGGTCAAACCGCGCTTCAAACTACTCCGGGTAATGTAACCACGGTTGTGTTGGTCAAAGACGGAAAACGCCTTTTTCAAATTGTCATTCGATAGCAACTCCTTTTGACTCATGGCGGCCACTACAAATTCACTGTATTCCAAGTAACTATATACAGATCAACAAACACGCAATGAGTGTATGGTATACGCTTCATGGGATACGATCGAGTGGACTTTCACTCGTAATGCACACGTACCCCGTCCCGTCAATGTCCACTGAGAAAGTAAGTTCCAAGCAGCGGCATCACAGCAGCAGAAATGTGAGATCATTCGCACCTTGGACTGTCGTTTGGAAACGAGTGTGCACCCTGCAACGACAACGCACCTCTATCAAAAATCTCATCCACTTCTTCGACACTCATCTCATATCCAAACACTTTCAGGTACGCAGCCTTGACTTCTTGCTTTGACAGTTTGCCGTCGCACCTGTAGTCAATCATGAGACAGAATGAAGATATCAACAGCGGAAAGAACAAATAAATGAGCGTTCATTCTACAAGAGTACGCATTCTGATGGTACCGTTCGTCCGAGACAACTTACGAAACATCCATTACTCGAAAGACTTCATCAATCTTGGCCTTTTCTTCCTTCAAGATCAACTGGGAAGCTATGAATGTGCTGGCGGCTTGAGCCAAAACGCTGCGTGCCTGGAACCGTTTCATATTGTCAAGGGCCTCGGCGGCCGTACACACTTCCTTCTCATGAAAGTTTTCCGCAACGGCAAGTCGTGCAGTTTCCAGCCACGGATGCTGCAAGGCCAACGCCGCCGTTGGTCGTTTTGTTTCGTCCATGGTCAAGCAATCGGAAATGAAGGATTTGGCATCATCGGAGATATTGTTCCAAATGGGATTGCGAGAAAACGAGTAGGCGCCGCTGAGGATGCGGTCTGCGATGTCTTGCTTGTGTTTGGCAGTGAAGGGGAATTCATCCGACAGGAGAAGAAAGGCCATGACACCACACGCCCACACCTTTGTGTCCAATGAAGAGTGTGCAGTGCAGTAGGGCAGGTGTGAGAGCATCATGCATTGCGAGCAATATCCACAACGGCAGACACGATCGACGCAAACTCGTTCGATCGTCGCAACTTACATCACATTTGGGACCATAATCGCCCTTCAAGACTTCCGGTGCCATGAATCTTTGCATCACAGGTTAGGAGAGAAGGAGTGTTAGAAAAGAGAACTTTTTGGGTACTTTGGCAGTAGCTGCGATTGCACGCGTCGAAATGGGATGTGCATACCTGATCGTGCCACGACGTTCCTTGATCCTCCCATTGACGACACTACCCTCAGCTTTCTCTTGTTCGCCCACCAAGTTGGCCGCTAGTCCAAAATCTATAATCTTGATTTGGTTGATGGCCTTGCTCTCTTCTAACAAAATGTTGTCCGGCTACACGCCACGAATGTTGATGCATGAACAAAGAAGAAAGCATGAGGCTGTGCATGCATGATAAACCACCAAGACCATATATAGCTGTCCACGTTCTGCTGTTCTTACCTTCAGATCACAATGAACAATATGCCTTTGGTGGCAGTAATTGACACTGAGAAGGATTTGGTGGAGGATCAAACAGACCCCAACTTCGGCAATGGCACCATACTTGTCAATTTCATCGCACAAATCGCCCCCTTTGCTTGCATCCATGACGATTTCGTACTGTTCGCTGTTCTCAAACAGATCGTACATCTTCAAGATATTAGGGTGGTCCAATGAACGCAGTATGTTCTGAAGCGAAAAGAAAGTCGACTTGCTGTTGAGATTGACGGACAGTTTGGATTTGGACGTGCACACACAAACAAACAAGCAAAAACTTACAAACTCTCGCATGATGAGCTCATTCTCTTTGGCATGTTGGCTCTTTTTGACGTATTTCACGGCCCGTTCCGCCCCCGACTCTTTGTTGGTACAAAACCACACGGATCCAAACGAACCACTCTGAATGTACTCTCCAATGTCATACCGACTGGTGAGTCGTTCCGCACGCTTGCCAATGGTTTGTGCCGGTCGGAATGTCAATTGAATGGATGACTCCCAAAGCTCTCGTCGTTCTCCCGACGACACGGTGGATGTGGACGACGCAAAGATATTGGGCGGCTCCACCATGAGCATGCTGGTCGTGAGAGAGCTATTGACCGAGCTGGCCAAGGGTCGTCGTCCTCGGCTGTTGGGTCGCTGTACTCGTCGGCGTCGACCATTGGAAGAATGCAACATCATGGCGACAAACTCGTCAAAGCAGATTTGTCCATCACCGTCTCGATCGACTTGGGCAATGATCTCTTCCAGAATGGCCACGTGTTCCTGTTCGTCGTGTTCGGCGAGATAGGATTTCAGTAATGGCTGTAGATTGGCGGCGGAGATGAATCCCGTGTTGTCCGTGTCGAATATCTTAAAGGCTTTGCGTAGTTTGGTGGTGTGCAAGAGTTGCTTTTCATTGAGTGAGGCAATGACAAACTCCGAGTACTGCATGCATGTGCGTTCGTGCGAGGATGACAATGCAAAATGAGCATCCGGGATGTAATGTATCCATTCAATATTATTGGGCAGAGCTTGCTACCGTGCTTACCTCAATGGTGCCACTCCCACCCAAATCCACCCTTTCAAACAACGCCTCTAAATCGGTTTCTTTGAGTGGTTTCCCAAAAATTTCTTGATATCCCTTTCGCACTTCCTGTTTGGACAAGACTCCATCGGCTTCAATATCCATAAGTTGAAAGACTTCATCAATATAGCTCTTTTCTTCCTTTAATACGAGCTGCGTGGCGATGAATGTCAGGGCGGCTAAATCAGGAAAACGACAAGACAAGTAACCCAGGTAAGTAAGTGAGGATCGTATGAATTGTGTTTCATTTCATCTCTCTGCCGTTCAACACGGCGAGATTGCACTTGCGTTTGTTGTTCTTTTTTATTGATTGTGCTCCTCTCTTACCTTGTTTCAACACTTTGGGCGTCGACGGACGTCGTCGTGCCGTTTGTTTGAGACCGGACCATACTTGAAGGGCATGTTGTCGCAAATGCTTGTGTTGTCGCGTCCCACCTCCGGCCAATTTGTCATCGAGCGCCCGTTCGCGTGTTTTTTCCATCCATACATGCCGCAAGGCTTCTTCGGCCGTGGGACGATCGTGAGGATGGTGTTGCAGGAGTGCGGCAATAAAGTCCTTGGCGTGAGCGGACACATCGTTCCAGACCAAGTCGGTTCCAAATAAAATGTCGCTGTCGCAGTCGTGTGTTCGGAGTGCCAAGAGGGCTTTAATGGCATGTTGCAATTGCAGCGTGGTGGTGGGCTTGCCAAAGGGGTATTTTCCGGAAACGAGAATAAACGCCAGGACCCCCAAAGACCACATATCGGCGGCGCTTCCAAAGGGTTGGTCAATGGCAATCATTTCGGGTGCCATGAACGGTATCTGAGCGCCTCGGGGTTGATACCAATCGACGAGTTGTGCCATTTCTTGGGCGTAGCTGTTAGTGTTGTGATGATTGTTGTCATTATTATTGTTGGGGTAGTAACAGTCGTCGTCTTCGTCGTCGTCTGGCTCTGCCAAGACGGCATCCCCAAAGTCTACCAGTTTGATGGCACTGACTTTTTCCTTGTCTTTGTCGAGTATAATGTTGTGTAGATTGAGATCACAGTGGATCAGACTGCGACTGACATAGTGACGGGAGGAAGCAGAGGATGACGCTCTTTTGGTGTCCTGATCATTGCTGTCACTAGTAGTCGTTGTTGTGGACCTACTGGAGTGCAGATACGCCACAGTCTGCAGCAACAGATAAATCAAGAGAGCCGCCTTGTCTTCTGGATACCGTTCTCCCGGTTGTTGCTTTAAATCCTGTGCTAAGGTTCCTCCTCCGGAATACTCCATGACCATGTAATAGTGCGTAGGTCCTTCCAGCAGTTCAAAGATCTTGGCCACATTGGGATGATGCAGGTGTTGCATCAGATAGAATTCCGTCAGTTCCGGATTAAAGGGAGGCTTGCTACTATTGCTATTGCTATTGTTGTCCAAATGGATCTCCTCCAAATCAAGATAGGGAGAAGTAGTAGTAGAAAAGCGATTTCTGGTTTGGCGTCTGGATTTGCGCCAGACTTTGACGGCTCGCAGTTCTCCCGAGTCTCGATGATGACAGGCAAAGACTTGGGCTCCCTGACGTCCCTTGCCCAAAAACTGACGCATCTCGTAGGAACTTTCAAAAAACTCCTGATCTTCTTGTTCTTCCTGAGAGGGACTTGGTGCTGGAATCGTAGTCTTATTACTAGTAACGTCTTGGCTACCGGTGCCAGTACTACTACCAGTAGTAGACCGACCAGAAGCAGCCGCTTGCTGGTGACTGACAAAATCATGAGCTCGGAACTTGAAGCCTGTCTTTTGAGATGCTACAGAGCTCGTTGTAGAGTGAGACGTCGACTGAGATGGAGATGGAGGGGGCATGGTAAGGAGATATTGCAGTTACTACAATGTCATGTAATAGTAGAGCTTCAGGGCTTGGTTGGTTTGCCTGTTGTTTGTGACCCGGACCATCGCCTTCCTACGTTTTCGTTTTCGTCAAGAGATCTACAGTGTATCTTTGAAGAGCGGATCTTCTGAACTGACATCAGAGGAACAATACATTTCTACCGGCTTAATTAAACCATTTTTCAAAGTTACGGTACCAGCCAGCAAAGCGGATAAAAGGTACTGTACAAGCGTAAACACGAACCCAAGATCAACAACACAGGCAAAAGTGCCGCAAGGCAACCTTTTCTCTGTTGGGGTTCCTACTAGATACTGTACAATACTACTAGGCAGCATTTTCCTTGCAAATCGAGAACCCCACAATGCCTAAATCGAGGACCGAAGACCGGCATTGGTGCCTACTAGGTACACAATGTCATTGTACTTCCAAAGCAAAGTCTCTGCATCTCTGCTTGCTGGTCTTTCGATCCAGATGTCTCCGTGGTTGATGGGCTACAGTGCGGTACCGGTACGGTACCTACAGTAGCTTGCACAGCGCACCTAATCTAAAGGTCTTCGAGAGCCGTACAGTCGTACGTTGGCACTGTTATAAGTCACTCGAATATCATCTCTCTATGTCACCTCACTCATAGTAGCTCTCCTGGGTCATCGACTCCCGCGCTGGTCGTGAAAAATCGACTCCCGCGCTCATCATCCCTTCTAAATAAACCAACGATCTCCCGCACAAGCTTCGTTTGGACGTTTGGGCCTGCCCATGGTCACTCGAGACTGTCCTTTTACAGTACAAGGAATCTTAACTCCATGGTCACCTCACCTCCGAAGTGACTTTCTCGGGGTCATCGACTCCCGCGCTAAAGGTGAAAAACCGACTCCCGCACTCGCCATCCTTTTCGCAACCATCTCTCAGCAAGCTTCATTTTGACGTCCAAATTGGCTACTCAACAGTTTGCTCTCATAAAAAGTTTATCGGAAGAAGCTCAACAGCAACTACTCTTCTCTCCAAGCTCGTTAGCTAGCTCCCCCTGTCGACCAACACCCTCTTCGATCTATCTATCTACCGTATCCAACCAAAAAAATCATCATCACCATGAAGGTTGCTACTTTTTTCTTGACCATGCTCTTTGCTCCTGTCGTCGTCTCGGGAGCCAACGA